AGCCCGCAATAACTCCACGGTCACAGGGCAGAATCATACTTGCACTCAGTTTATTGGAAAGCAAAAGTACACATAGAAGGGTACACGGGCATCCTTGCAAGTGAGGAATGCCCTGTGAAGCAATAACTCCACGGTCACAGGGCAGAATCATACTTGCACTCAGTTTATTGCAAAGCAAAAGTACACATAGAAGGGTACACGGGCATCCTTGCAAGTGAGGAATGCCCTGTGAACTCTTAGGGAAGGGCTTATACGTTGTTCTGGGATGGGGTGTTTCTCTGTCTTAACTAAGGGAAGGAATATTCAAGAAAAATGGGGAGGAAAAGGGGTTTTAGGTGTTCCTAGGAAAAAGGGAGGTTTTGGTGGTGGTTGTTTTGTTTTATGCTCAGAAAACCACAGGGTTCTGAAGAAGAGCAAGCTGATCAGTCGGGTGGTTTAGCTGCTGCTACCAGGTTTTAGCTTGAGCAGCCTTCTTGGGGCAAATCCCTGTTGTGTCCTGCCTCAAAAACACTCTTTCGTTTAGTGGTGATATTCTCTTGTCCTTAAATTTTTTTGCATTGGGATTATTTTGTAAGGAAGTGCTGTGCCTTATTCTTTACTTATTCACTTATTTACTTATATCAGTGTGGACTAATAGGTACTCTATGGATTTTACTCTAATGTTATAGTAATTTATATTTTTGGTCAAATTGTCCTACCTTTGACTGTTGGGAGTTCTTTAAGGTTGGTCCTATGTACTTTTGATATGCCCTTTCACTCCATAATATACTTGAGGAATTTCTTTACTTTCTGGCACTGTAAGATGCTGTAGTCTTATTTTGAATTTTCTCTTCCCCTACCCCGGAATCGATCACTTCTCCATGGAGCCCTGGTTCCTCTCATAGGACTTTTATTTTATCATACTCCCTACCTTGCAAAAATAGTGGTTCATCTGACTGTAGCATATTATTATATTCTGGATTTGAATGATTGCTTCTTGTGGTATCATTTAACTACCTATATCCTCATGGTTCTCAAACTTTACTGCATATTATTGTCAACTTGGGAGCTTTTAAAAATCTAAATGCCCAGATTTCATTCCGTACCGATTAAATTAGAATCCCTGAGGATAGAGTCCAAACATCAGTGGTTTTTAAAGCTCCCCAGGTGTTTTCAAACGTACAGCCGATTGAGAACCACTGCTGTTTGTCTAGCTCCTCCCCTTTGCTTATATTGGTAGCAAATTCTAGACTTAAAGGCTTAAATACATTCAGGTTCAAATTTTTTGTTCTTTCTGTTACATCTTTCAAAGATTGATCAGTGGGTTCAGCTTTGTTCTTGGCTTCAGCACTCCTTCCATTTGGTAGTATTGCCTTTCTAATCATACTCTCCTGGTCCCTCACTTGGACTTCTCAGGAATCAGTGTGTTTCTTTTCTTGCTATTCTGTGACAGTTTCCATGAGTGCTTTGTTGTTTTCATATGGGGGGACTGCAAAATCACCAACACCCAATGCCCAAGATCTTTCTCATTACCTCTAGTTTGATGACTATACAAGCACATCAAACATAGAACTTGACTTCTTTTCAAACCTGTGTGCTTTTTTGTTCTTTCATTCATTCACCATGTATTTATTGACCATCTACTACGATCCACACAATATTCCAGGCACCAAGGATGCAAAGTTGAAAAACAAACTGGCCTTGAGATTTTTGCTTGGTAGATTCTTATACTCCCCATTTCGTTGATGGGGTTGGGATGTGCCTAGACAGAGGTCTCTTTCTATTATCTCACTCTTCATTTACCACATCCTGTTAGTTTGTTATACTCCATTGATTCTTCTGTGTCACTTTCAAGATTTAAAACTCAACTGTGCAACTCTGTTTTTGAGGGAGCTAGTAATAACAACTGGAAAGTGAATTCTGTCTCAACCACTTAGGTCTGTGTACATCTGAGCAAGTGACTTGTGGAGTCTTTTTTTTTTTTTTCCTTTTTGTCTTTTTTCGTGTCCGGCAACGGACCGCAACCCTCAGTGTCGTGCCCGTACCGGACTGGGACCGGCAACGGGATCACAACCCTCGGTGCTGCGCCCGCCCCTCGCTCAGCCAGTGAGCGGGAACCGGTCTGTATGTGGGATCCGAACCCTTGGCTGGAGCGCCACCGCGCTCCCAAGCGGCGCACTGTAGCAGTGCGCCACCGGGCCAGCCCGACTTGTTGAGTCTTATTTGCCTGGTATGTAAAACTGAATAACAGTTACCACCTCACTGGGTGGTTAGGGAGGTTGATGCCGTAACTTGCTCTACCTCTTCTTCTTACCTTGTTTAGCAGCATCATCATCTGTCCCATAGCACCATTCTGAAACCTGTGCACTATCCTAGAAACCCCCTTCCCTTATCCTACCTTCCCATGTCTGGTTGGTCACTGAGTCCTACCAGTTTATAGAATCTTTTCTTTTTTGGCTGCTGGCCTGTATGGGGATCTGAACTCTTGACCTTCATTTTATCATCACTGTGCTCTAATCAACTAAGCTAATCAGCCAGCCCCTAGCAGTTTTTTTGCATAAATATCACTCAGTGGTATTTATGTTTAAACAGCTTTCAAGCCATGTGATCTTTCTAAAACCCATTCAGTTTCTTCTCTTTTGTGCTTAAAAACCCTGTAGTGGTACCCCATGAAGTTCACACACCATTGCCTGGAAGTCCTCTTAAACATTTTGCTCTGCCCGTCTGTTTTTTGTTTATCTCTTGTCACTCTTTTCTAGCACCCTGTACTCTGGCTAGGCTTTCTTGTTTGCGTTTTCTAAGTTAACCATGCAGCTTCACATCTCTGTCTCTTGCCTATGCTCTTCCTCCCCACTCTGCCTGGCAGACCTCATGTTTCAAGGTCTTACCTTTTCTGACACCTTCCAGATTACCACAAACACACCCTTTGTCTCTCACTGTGCTGTATACTTACGTTCTATTAAAGCATTTTTGTATTTATTTTACTACTTGCATTTACAGATTTCTTAATAGTGTTTTATTGTCTCAGTGCCTGTCACAGTGCCTAGCATGTAGTAAGTGCTTACTTTATATCTGGTGGATGAATGAGGTCAGCATGTGAAAGTTCCTAGAACAGAGACTGGCAGAAAGTGAATGTCAGAAGATGGTTGGTCATTACTCACAATGTTGTGAAGATTTTTAGCACATTGCATTTCCCAGTTTGTGTTAATTTCCCCTACCAGAATAAAGTATAAATCTATAGTGAGCTGTTCAAAACCTTTTACAACATACTCTCATCCATCTTTCTAGGCTCATCTCATGCATGTCATTTCTCTTTTTTCACGTTATGTTCACTAGCCTAACAAGATTGTGATATGTATCTCAGGTATATTTTCACCCTTTCCTTTTGTTGAGAATCACTGCACTAGTGGAGCCACAGTTACTGATGTTACTTATGGAGCCACTAAACAAATAGATCTGCTGTACAAACCCCATTTTCTAATTTGATTAGACTAATTGTGATAACTGCCTTGAACTTTCAAGACAAATTAGATTTCCTCTTTTTCTGTAGCACTTAATTTTTATTATAGTGTAGTATGAGCACATTTTATTATAGCATTTATCAGCTATTTTAATTGTGTCTGTTACCTACTAGCGTATGAGTCCTTGAAGATAATACTGGGTTTTATTATCTTTGAAGCTCCAGCACTCAGACTGTGAAATATTTCTTGATTCAAATGAGTGAATGATGTGGGTTGCTCAGAAGAGGTCAGTATTGTCTAGGATATTGGGGTGTTTTGAATAGACATTGGAGAAGGATGGAGACTACCGGTGATAAGGAAAATGGTGGGAACAGAGGAAACAATAATAGCAGTCAGCTGCTCACAGTTGTTGAGCACATCTTATATCCAGGCACTTTATATATATATTGTGAATGTGTTTAATTGTAACAGGAACTCGAGATAGGTGGAGTAATTTTTCATCTTTAACAGATGTAGAAACTGAGGTACAGAAGGTTAAATAATTTGCCCACAGTTATACAGCTTGGGACTATAGAGCTCAGGCTGCTCACCACAGTGCTTTACTATTTTCCAGTGAACATAGAGCATTGGAAACAGAAGACCTAGTTAGAGCAAGGTGAGGGTTAAATGTACTTCTTTATGTTTCTTAAGAAAAGAATACTCTCTAAAGATCTTCTCTCTGACAAAGTATAAGATTTATGATAATGGCTAGGGATAATACTCCTTAATCTAATTTGCATACTTGTCACCCGGGGCTCTTGATAAAATGCAAATTCTAATACTGTAGGTGTGGACCTGAGATTCTGTGTTTCTAACAAGCTATTAAAGGATAACAGTGCTGCTCTACTGTGGACTCCATTTTGAGTAGTAAGGGTTTGGAGAGTTCAGTACCAAAGATATTTTATGTGCAATTCTATTAGATTGTTATTTAGAAATTGTAAGTAGTTCTGTGTCTTTAATTGGATACATAATTTAAAAATTGCCATGGTATGGAGATGCTGAGACTTTAGGCACTAGTTTCTTATATTGGTTCTATGTTAGAATCACCTGAGTTGTTCTAAAAATTACTAATGCTCAGGCTGTGCTGGAGATCAATAAGATTATCTGGTGACTAGACATTTACATTAAGAAAGAAAAGAATAGTCTTCAAGTGATGAGAATGCCCAACTAACATTAAGAACCACTATGCAAATAGATTAATTTATTAAACTTTCAGATCATGGGGTGCTTTTTTCATGTTAAGCAAATTTGTTGTCTGTTGAAATAAATATTGCATAATCAAAGTCCCTGTGAATTGGAAATACCTTAAAATTACCTAAAGGTAATTTTGGCTAAAAGTTAAGTAAATGGCGGTTATCATCATTACAGTGTTTTGATTAAGGCTTGTGCTATGGGTAGGATACTGTTCATCTTTTAAGGAGTAAAAGTAATGGATAAATGCTTTTTTTTCAGGTGAGAATATTCCTGTTAATTCTCATTTTGCTTTTTTAATGTTAAGTGTTTTCTTTCTCTTTCCAACAGGGATTTTTTGCCAGGTGGTAGGAGAGATTATACAGTCCAAGTTCAGTTGAGGTGAGTTTGAAATCTTCTGCTATCTTAATTTTATACTTGCTGTGTACATATAGTCCTGAGTTTTAAAATATGTAAGCATGTTTGAGTACACTATTTCAGAGTAATTGTTTTTCTTTTATTAATGCAGACTTTGCCTGGCAGAAACAAGTTGCCCTCAAGAAGATAACTATCCCAATAGCCTATGTATAAAAGTAAATGGGAAGCTGTTTCCTTTGCCTGTAAGTTGCTTTTTATTCACCAGATTTGCATATAAGTTTTATATAAACACTGACAGGGCCTAGAAACAGTGCAACTCAGTACCAATGAATAGTTTTAGCATCCATATTAAATACTGTTTTCCACTAGAGGGATCCATGGCTCCTTGGAGAAATAAATTGCTGATTCTAGGTTTGGGGGAGACGAGAAAGGTGAACCTGGGACATCTTATTCCAAAAATCATGGAAGCTATGAAAGACTCTTGTGGTCACATCATATGACATAGTAGCAGGACAGGATTTAGCACTTGCATATATTAGACAGCATGTTGGGTGGTGAGTGTCTGGCTTAGCTGGGCCTGGCCAGTGGGAGACATTGCTAAAAGCAGTGGCTGCTGAGAGTGACTGGCCACAGAAATGAAGAATTCCAAGTGTGGACCTTGAAGATGCATATGCTTGGGGGCTGGGGGTGGGGTGTGCGATGATATTTGATTGACAACCTGTTGTTTAAGCAGTGAAACAGCATATGGATTCAACACCTGCAATATATACGATGTGGATATATACAGCATGTTTCTGGCCTAATAGATAGCTCTAATAGACAGCCTAACACTATGTATTGGTTTCCATTGAGACCTGGAATATGTTACTAAGTTGGTACAGTTGTGTAAAAGGCCAGCAAAACCATAATCCCCCCCCAAAAAAAATAGTAGAGCATGGCCTGTTTGTCAAGCATTACAAAGTGGAAGTGTATTTGCTACAACTGAAGTGCTGTGAGAACAGTGACCCACCCGTATGCCAAGTTGCCATTTCAACAGAGCAGACACCATTGCAACTATTGAGGAGATGTGGAAGCTGTTTAGCATCCCTGCTGAGCATGAGGCTTGGCTCTGGAATAAGTATATGAGCAGACAACACAGTTTAGGACTCTGGGTTCTACCAGAGCCAGGTGCTTGTAATTGAACCCCAAAGTGAAGATAGTCCATGGCCCAGGCTGACCCTTGTAGTCAAAAGGATCTGACTTTTCTTGGTTGTCAGGAGTCCCACTTGTCTCATATGCAGCCTGTGGACTTAGACACCTGACAGGTAATTGTTTCATGAATTATACAGGGCTTAAACAACTCTGCATCCCTGACAGACTCTTTTTGTAAGATGCCTGTGAGACTAAAAGGAATTGAGACAGTCCTCTGGGGATGACAGGGGAAATTGCAGGGGCTGAGTAGATATGGTTAGGGAGGACTGCTTACATGGCCCCATTCACGTTCAAAACCCAGATGGAACATTTTGCCTCTCAGGTTTCCGGCTACCAGCAACTGGATTCTCAGGAGCTGTCTTTTATCTGGATGGAGTGTACAAAGTTCTGAACCAAGGGAAGAAGCAGCCCTACTGTAGCTAAAGGATGCCAGTGGGTGCCAGATGTATGGCAGAGGAAACCTGGCAAAATCACAGATTATGGAATGACTCTGTGTACACTCCCCATGGCCTTTCCCTATCCATTTTTTTGCCCAGGATGTGCTGAGATTTCTTTGACTGTTGACTCATTACTATTTACCCCTCCCACTATCCTGGAAGAAAGATGTAACTGTGGTGACTTCTTGGTGTTGACTCATCTTGAAGATCTGTCCAGTATCATCATGTGACTGTGCCAAAGATGGGACTGTGTCTGCAGTGTGTGAGATTCTGCCTAAACTCTCTGACATCGCTACAGAAAATGTGGCTACAGATGTTTATGCACAAAAGTTCCAGATGGACCAGTCAGTGTCACGTTTTGGGATGATATCTTCATGTATGAGGTATACAGCACCACTATGGGTAACTCTGAATTTGTCACTCTTCCGGTCCTTTTTAGAGAGAGGAAATTATTCAGTTGAGCACTTCATCTGGGACATTGCTACTCAGACAATCATTGCTGGTTTCTGTCCCAAAGCACCAACTAACACTTGAGTACTTACACTAGGCTGTTTATGAACATATCAGCTACTACATAAAGCACCCTTTGTCTGATGAATTCGGCACTCACCCCTGGAGCCAGGAGCCTGCAATGACTCGAGAGGCAGTTGTGAAGGAGGAGAAGAAATGAAGCACTGGGAGAAAGGCAAAGATAAATTTCAGAAACAAGGCAATGGGGAGGACTTGCCTGACCCTGATAGGACCATCCCAAAGAAAATCAAATGCTAGCTTTTCCCAAGGGGTTTTTCACCTCAGTCCTGTGAACTCCTGTAGAAGAACTCATATAAATTCACATGCAACTGATGAAAAACTCCTTAAACCACCTCTTGATCCACATTGCTATTGGTTGGGGTAATGAAATATGGAGTCTTCATTAGCATGAAGCAGGATTCTGAAGTTTATGAGAATCATGTGAGTATGCTGCAGCTTCAGAAGAAGGAAGGAGGGCCTTAGGGACTTTGTTCCAATTGTAAGAAGCATTAGCAGGCCACAAAGAAGTTCGACGTATCATTGCCTATGATCCTGGTTTACTGAGCAACAGCTCCTGGAGGGATAAGCTTGACAAGGTCATGTAATTTTCCTTTAGAGCTCTGAATATGTTTCAGTTTCTCTGTGTCCTGGAGCAAGTCCTTATGTGTATGATAACCTTATTGCAATATCCATTCATTAGGGACCCATGGCAGTTGGCCGCCTTACTGCACGTACAAAGTAAACTGAATGAGAAATGGTATTATTTTGACAATAGCAACATGTCCTTGGATTCTTAAGGATCACATACTGATGAAAGCAGCTTGTGTGCTGTTTTACCTGCATTGAAATGACGAGTTCTACAAAACACCTTCCTGTGTTGATTTTCCAGGTTCTCTTGATGCAGGGAAGACAGTAAGCAGCTCATAGCAGGGCTTGCAGGATGATGATGATGTGCAGATGGACACAAGAAGTTGTAAAAGACACTGTCCCTCCCATCTTTTTTCTCCAGGCCTATCAATGTACAGACTGACAGCCAGATGAAGAAATTCCATCTTTTTATGGACAGAAGAGAAAAAAAGACCTTTCTTAGGGAGTTATTTTGAGAGGCAGAATCATTTTTGTTTTTAAACAAATTGTGAGAAATGTCTGTAAAACCTGTGGAGCTGTAAGGGTGGAAGGGGAAGAAGTGTTGACAGGAAGGAATATTTGAAAGATTCCAAAGTTCTGGAGAAGTTGTGTGCTGCAGTTCAGCTGGCAGAAATCTCCAGTACATAGTTCTTGTGCAGCCAGAAGACATAACCGATACTGACCCCTTCTCCTAATAAATTCTGTTTCTGAGTTCATGGATTTCTGTTTTCTGGTGCTATGTGTTAGTCACCCCAATGGTCTTCCTAACAGTAATCTGGTCTGATGTAGATCACCATTTTCTTTTTTCAAAAACACATACATATGTGTGCACATGTGTGTTCCCTGTGACCAAGTGGCATAATTTTGGCATCTTAAATTGTAATGACTATAGTGGGCTCAAAACAATCAAATATATAAATGAGTTTATAATTATACTAAAATAAGCCAGTAGAGGTTGCACCAACTCTGAAGATTGATAAAGGAAGAGAATCATCCATTTCAGATGCTGCTGTGGTCAAGTTGTTCTTTACGGAAACATTTTAGCTAATAAAACCAAAAACAATGATAGAATAAGAAAATCATTATCCCACAATTTGTAATCATACAATGGATTTAACCATCAATGGATGCTAAAACCATTAGGCCATCACTTGATGAGGAACTTTATGGAAAGATCAGGCTGACATCTTCTGAACCTCCTGATCAGTCTTGACATGACTGAAAATTAGGTCAGACAACCCACATGCACTTCATGATATGGTACCATAGGAAGTACACAACATTACCTGTAAAGTTTTTGTGTCTAAAAATTTGAGCCTGAATTTAATCAAACTTGTACACCTAATTACCAATTTAAAAAGCATATGAGAGAGCAACAAAATTTCATACCATGAGAAGCAGTCTCATAATCCAGAATATGAAGTCATTTTTCAGTTAAAAAGTCCTGGTTTCTCCAACAGGACAAGAGCATTGGAAAAAAAGTGTTATGTGTGTTGGAGGGGAGAGATGTTTATAGAATAAAGGAGACTTCAGAGACATAATTCAATGCAGTGCAAGGCTCTAGTTTGAATTCTGATTCAAACTGAAATAAAAGGATATCTTCTATGTATACCAAACTATGTCTAGAGAAAATGTGTCTGGGATTTACTTTAAAATTATCTGGGATAGGGGTTGGGTAGAGTATGTAAAGATTGTTCGTGAGTAAATAAATTATTGAGCCGAGTGATGCGTATATGGGGGGTCACTATACTTATTTCTGTACTTTTGTATGTGTTTGAAATTCTTAATGATAAAGAGATAAAAGTCATCTTTGAGGCAGGTGGGAAATTTGAATAGAAGCAGGGTATTAGATGATTTTTTTAAAGTTGTGATTAATTTTGTAAGGTTTTGGTACTTTTTGTTGTTAAGTCTTATTAGAAATGTATATTATCTGTGGATATGACATGTCTAGAATTTGAATTTAAATACCCAAGGACAAAAATAAATTTTGGGGGGGGCAGGTTGGGTGTGGGGCCAGAGGCAAATGAAAGAAGATTGGCAACATGTTGTTAATTACTGAAGCTGGTTGTTGGGTATCTGTTTTCTCTCTACTTTTGTAAATGTTTGAAAATTTCCTTAGTATGAAGTAGAAAAGTAAATCTGTGTTGGTAGTATTAAACTAGTAGTGCTAATTGGAAAATGTGGGTGTGGAGGGTACTGACATTAATAAAGCGCATGTATTTCACGGGGCCTTAACCTTTAGCCTAGTAGGGCTGCAGCCCTTAGATTAGAAGGACCACAGTCCTTAGATTAGGCTTAGTAGCATCTTTATCCTAGTAGGATAACAGTCCTTAGCTGTTAGAAGGGCCAAAGCCCTTTAGTTTAGGCTGTAGGATAGTGGGGCCACCGCCCCATAGTTTTAGCAAGGCCAAAGCCTTGTAGTTTGAGGAATAACCTAACCTTTTAGTATTGCACATAGAAATGCTAAGTTTGGGGAAAAACAGAAAACTTTCACAGGACTAAAAATTCTATGCTATGGATATGAAAATTGTAACACAGCAAAAGTGCTTTCTTTAAGGGCAGCTAAACCTGATTATGGGAAAATACGTGTACTGAAAGCTTCAAGGCTACTCTGCCAGTTAATGGTTGGTTCCACATTTCACCTTCAACTGCTTCTTCAAGTTTCCTAGAGAACTAAGTGTTGCCATAAAGATTATCTCATTGGTTCTTTTGTATGTCACATAGCTTAGTTTTATGACTCCTTTGATGGTAAATTACTTAAACTATTTTTAAGTTGCACCTGCTTTAATGAAAATTGTTATGTAGCCAGTTTGTTTATGTTTTTACCATGACTGATTAACCACCTGTGTTCTTTTCTGTAACTTTTGCCTGGACAATAAAAACCGAGAGAAAACCTAGTTTTGGGGTCATTTCCCAGGAATTCCTTCTCTTGAAGAAGTCATCTCCTGGGATTTAACCCCTTTGGGCCTCTCATTGCTCAGGAGAAATGTGCTTTGAATAATCCTTTGCGTCTCTGTCACCCTGAGGGAGAGGTGACATGTGGGAAAGGAATAATATTGTGGACTTCTGTCAAAATTGCAAGTAGAGTAGGATATCATCATAGCATGTAACACAAAAAGTTTTTTGAGTAAAGTGTTAGGCCAAGACCTACATAAAGTCTTCCACTGGTGCTCTCCAGTAGCCTCTATTTAGTAAGCTTGTAGATCTGCTCCATAGATCCTCTGTCAAATGATTTTATTTTTGCTTTAAATATAGAAAATTGTTAGAAATATTCGAAGGCTAAACATTTATATTTTACGAAATTCCAACGATATCCTTTTCTCAATAGCTAGGTCATTGATGGTTGGAGGGAGGACACAAGTTAACCGATAACTCAGAATTACTAGTGAAGTCAAACCACTCAAATGAGGTAGAGAATTGGCTGAGAACACTTCAGGTGATTGAGACTAGTCCCGTACGGGATTCCGAGTGTCAACACTTGATTCTCACATTCGCTGTTGCTCTCCTCACTCCTACTGCTCTTTTTTGTTATGAAACTGTCTTGTGTCTCAAATTTGAATTTACAGAGTTCACATTTATCTTGTTCATGAGTTATTTTTATTGTCTTGGCAGAACCCGTACCATTGTTTTTATTTAGTTAACCTACAAGTAGACATACTAGAAGATAGAATTATCTTCCAGGCCCAAAACAGCCAAAACAAAAAAGTTTCATTCATAATTACCTAAATACCAGTGTTGATATTCCTTGTGCTGGTCTTTTACTCTCCCCTGCTCAAACTGTTTTTAATGATTTTCAAACTTTTGTTGCATATTGTACATTACAAGTTATCTCATGGATTCCCATTTAATAATTACTATCCTACCTCCTATGAAACAGTGAGGGTGTCCCCAATTTGTGGTAGACAGGATGTGTTCCTTAGCTCTGCTGTGTAATACTACTAATACTGTATTTCTTTGTTTCTAAGTGTATATTTTAACATTGCTGAAATCCAGAAGAGTTTTACAATTGCTGATGACGAGGTGCCAGCTATGATATATTGTCTTTGCCTGTACTTGTATAAGTTTGGTGTTATTTCCATGGCACAACTAGTTAGCTGCATCTTCTCTGCTTTTCAGTCAACAAATAATTTAAGGACATATTGAGGAAGCATGAATTCTGGCTGTTGTCTGAAGACTTCATTGATCCATTCTCATAAGATCCAGATTGTATCAGCATTAACACATGCAGTTAAGAGTGTAGTGACTTGTAAGGCAATCTGAGAGATGTTAGTAGGATGGACTACAATTTTAAGATATACTTTTATCTTTAAAGCTCGTTTGTGTATAGGAGAGTATTTGGAAAAATGTATGAATTGAAGACTGAATGAAAAGTGATTAGAAAGATTCTTCTTTATGTCCAAAAGGAATACGTTAATCAGTTCATTTCGCTTGTATTTCCTTGCTGTGTATACCAAAATAAGTAATGATGCACTAAGTTGTATCATTAACTTAGTGTTTTTTTCCTTCTCAGTGGTATGTAATTAAATTACATCAATGGCATATTAGAGTTAATGAAATATATCTGCTTTCAGTATGTAAATATTTAAAAATATTAAATATTTTTTATAAATTTATTTTATATTTAACAAATTTATAACATTTTATATATTTCTTTTATTAAATAAGTAAAAAACATGACTAGATAACAGAAGACTAAAGCATAAATAGTAATATCATGATAGCTATCAGGCTAATTTAATGCCAGTTAAAATATTGATTATTTTTATTTCTTAACTTGACCTGGTTTTAAAGATGACAGTTTTTGTTTTACTCAGGGAAAGGGCAGTGGAGAGCATTTTTATCTTAAGATTTTATGAATGGAACTTATTATTTTGTTCTTTTTTTAATTCCCCAAGTTTGCTCTCCCTCTTTCCCAGCCCCGGTATGTGAATGCGTTTTGAATGGGGCCTCCTATGATGAATCATTACAGAGAGGTGTGACTTTTATCTGTAAAGCTTGGTTTCTTATAAAAAGGAAAAAGATTCATAGCTAGTGTTGCAAGATGTCAGCGTCTTTAATTTTAATGATGGAACATGGATTTTTTTTTTTCTATCTTTTGTACTTGTGAAATATTTTATAATTTTTCAAAGGTTATTTTCCTGTTTTGTATTGATGACCATAGGACTGTGTGATTTCCCAGCTAAGGTAAAAGTAACAGTCTTACTGAAATTAGGCAAGATCCTATAACTATCTTGGAGAAAATGTGTTATCTCCTACAGAGAATTTAAAATAATTTTTCTTTATTATGGTTATAGGGCTACGCACCACCACCTAAAAATGGGATTGAACAGAAGCGCCCTGGACGCCCCTTGAATATTACATCTTTAGTTAGGTTATCTTCAGCTGTGCCAAACCAGATTTCCATTTCTTGGGCATCAGAAATTGGAAAGGTAAAGATTCTCTCCTCTGGGTGGAGTGGGACTGACCCCACTGGGGGTTGACTTACTCTGTATTTTTCTTAGGCTGCTAGCTCCAGCCTTTTCAGTTTTCTGTTTGTAATCTCTAAAAAGCAGTAGTTTCAATATGGGGGGGGGTGGTGTGGAGGTTCATAAGTTAAAAACTTTAATATTTCTTGAGTATCATCTCTATATTTTCCTGAAAAGGAAATATGTAACATATTTATATTTCTTAAGGTAAGGTAATGGTTTAATCACAGTTGTGTTCATGTGTGTGTTTAGGTAGTATCATAATAAACTGGAGACTTTAGGTGATAAGTATAACGGTGAGCATTGAAAACTTTATCAGTCTTTGGGAGAAATAGTTAAATGTACTCATGTTGTAGTTAGAAATAATCTGTCTTAACATAAACAGCTGATATTTCAGATAACACATGGGCATCTCATATAAAAGTATTTACCTAGAATTATATTATTTCCTCTATACCTTCAAGTAATTGACCTGGCTTTCTGAAGATTGTCAGTCTCAAAATGAGTTATATCAATTATGAACTACCAATTGATACAGAGGGAATTTTATAACTGAAATAATGAGTGGAAAAGAGATTTCAGTTAATTTCTGAACATCACCTTAAATGTTCCTATTTCATGGAAATAAAGGATAATATTTCTATTTTGTGGATGGAGAAATTGAGACATGGTTATAGCAGGAATTTTTTGTTTTGCCACCAAAGTAATTGCAGAGTTGGAAATAACTTACAGATTTTTGAATAAATGATTGTAGAAATTGAAGACTTGGCAGTTTTGCCATATAATGGGAATAAGATGCTTTCCTTATAATTAAAATAATTGTCTTAAAATTACTGTATTTATTGGGCATTTACTTAAAAGAACATTAAAAAGAATATTTAAAATATTTGGTTTAGCAACCATTAAAAATATTTTGTTTGTAGAATCAATTGAATGAATATATAAAGTGAAATAGTAAGGTACTTTTTTTTTTTAGCGTTTAGGTAAAATTATATTTTATCTCTTCATAACTCTATAACTAGCTAATGAAGGTTCTCTTGTGTCAGATCAAAGAGGTATGGGATTGGACACTATTATTTTCTGGCCTTGCCTTTTGGATTTTCATCATTTCTTCATGTGTCTTATATACTACAGTAGCTGCCCCTTCCCCAGTAACGTACTTATTTGGGAACAGGAGTTAATTTGTCAAAGCTTTCCACAGAAGAAACCTGATACTGGTTCATTTAAGTGATTTGCTCAAGCCATGTAGCAGATGATCTCTTCTGTCAGAATTAGAACTTTGGAACTCTGGGTTTGAAGTGTTAATTCAGACTACTGGTGTTTGAACTTTGTTTCTGCGTGGAACCCATTTTTAAATGAAGATATGAGAGACCATTACATAAAGTAGATGAAAACAGAACAGTTCTCATTAGAAGTAGGCATGGGAGGGTGCATTTTCATGGTGGCCCCTAAGGTACCATTTTTGCTAAATTAGAAACAGTTTGAAAGCCATTGCTATGGTACCATACCAGTGGATGTTTCAAAGTGATAAGTGATTGAGAGATACCTTTAAAATGATTGAGCTGTTGTCTTCTCTGAAGTAGCTGAGTTGATTTTGTCCCTAGTCATTGACCTTCCTGTGGAAGTTATCTTGAATGTTATTTTTAGAAGCCGGACTTTCTTAAATAAATATTTTATGTAAAGAGAATATTATCTCTCTTTTTTAATACAGATTATCTTTCCTTGTAGAATTACTCCATGTCTGTATATCTTGTACGACAGCTCACATCAGCCATGTTATTACAGAGATTAAAACTGAAAGGTATTAGAAACCCTGATCATTCCAGAGCACTAAGTAAGTAATGTTTGTAAGACTGAGCATATGAGATGCTTTCATGGGGGAAAATAACAAAAAACTCACACATCAATATTTATTATATTTATTTTGTTAGTATATTTATTAGCTGGTATATTCATTAACTTATATATATTACCTGGTGAATAACATCTTTTCTGTTTGCAAATATAACAATTATTGGAAACAACTAATACTGCCTACTAAAAACAGTAATGAATATGGTTAGAAAAGCATCGAAGCTCAGGCTGCTACTGCTTTCCAGCTTCCTCTCATTGTTATTTTGCTCTTAAGTCTTAAAACAGCTTTCTGTTCTGAAACTCCTTCTTACAAGCAGTTTTACTTTTAAAAAGAAATTTTAAAAATTCAATTAAACATGTGATCTAGAGTTTGCACATTCATAATTCTTTAACCTAAATATTGGGAATATGATGGTGTTTCAATACATTAAATTTTAACATTTTTTGTTTTTTTTGCAGTTTTTGACCTATTCAAAGCACTTGGGAAATTTTTAAAAAACATGCTATATATTTGTATAATTTTGTTGATATGTCACTGTTAGTTTTAAAATTTTTGATTTTTTTCCCTTTCTTTTTAAAGTTAAAGAAAAACTTACTGCAGATCCTGATAGTGAAATTGCTACAACTAGCCTTCGGGTATCCTTGATGTGCCCTGTAAGTAAAACAACAAACATTCTGGGGAATTATATGAATAATTAACTTTCCTATAAAAGTATGTGTGGAAGTGAATTATTACGATAGAATTTTGAACTTTTGTCTTTTCCCATTTAGGAATCTTCATGATTAACCATTATAATCCATTGCATTCTTCAGGCAATGACTAAACAAGAAGAGACCTAAAGGGATATTGAGTTGAAGAGGGAAGATGGCTTTAGGCTCAGAATAATCTGTCATAATTAATGCTGTAAATAATCCACAGCTAACAATAAGTACATAATAAGAGCTGCCTCCTTTTATCAGAATATACACGGTATTGAAAAATAGCAATAAAATGACTAGGGCATGATAACTATTAATTGATAGTCTTGGTTAAGGAGTTAGGATGTGTGGGATGTCTTTGTAATGTACTTTTAAATTGCAAAATAACTTTTTTTTTTTTTTTTCCTTTTTTGTCTTTTTTCGTGACCGGTAACGGGATTGCAACCCTCGGTGTTGCGCCCGCATCGCGCTCAACCAGTGAGCGGACCGGTCTCTATATGGGATCCGAACCCTCAGCGGGAGCGCCACCACGCTCCCAAGTACCGCACTCTAACGAGTGCGCCACCGGGCCAGCCCTAACTTTTTTTTTTAATATCCTTTCACATAGAGACTGTGGAGGAAAAATCAGTCAGAAACTCTGAGATCCTCTTATGTGCTTGGCACTGAGCAAATGGTGGTAGAAGATACTGAGGACTTCCTAAGAAATTATCCTAAAGTTTATAATTTAGTTTGATAGATAAAACCAATTCACATGAAAAAGCAGCATAATGTACTTACCACATATAATTGTACTATTAGAGTACCAAAGAAGAGATTGGAGAGGTCAAGAATAGTGGATGAAGGCTTCTTAAAAATCACTAGTGTTTGAGGGGGACTTTCAAATGTGAAAGTCATGGGATCACAAATTTATAATGTAGTTTGGGGCATATTTGATGACTACCTACCATTGTGAGAAATGTACAAATTTTTTTTTTTTTTTTTCTTTTTGTCTTTTTTCGTGTCCGGCAACAGATCGCAACCCTCAGTGTCGCGCTCGTACCGGACCAGGACCGGCAACGGGATCGCAACCCTCGGTGTTGCGCCCACACCTCGCTCAGCCAGTGAGCGGGAACCGGTCTGTATGTGGGATCCGAACCCTCGGCGGGAGCGCTACCGCGCTCTCAAGCGATGCACTGTAGCAGTGCGCCACTGGGCCGGCCCTGTACAAATTTTTAAATGGAGAGAAAATTGTGTCAGAGAGAGGAGGGAATGATATGTGAGTTCCAGCTGTGTGCTCCTTATTTAACTGTCTTAGCAAATCTGTATGGAGTTGTCCCCATTTTACAGATGACAAAACAGAGACTGAAAGAGGTGGCTAACCCAAATCACACAGTTAGTGGTAGAACAAGGATAAAAATTTTAATCTTCTGACATTGTTCCAGTTCTGCTTCCAGTATACCATGCTGCCAGATTGGGCTAAAATGTAAATGTCCTGATTATAAGAGCACATCTCTAGTCCCCTGGAAAGCCATATTTGCAGATATCATTCTTTCTAAAGCTTTGGTTTTTTATCATCATTAAAAAAATTAACTTGCCTCTAATGAAAAAGAATAGAATTTTCTGATATTGGCATTGCATAGAAACTAGGAACCTATGATTATCAAACTTAGGGAGAAGTTGTGCAGTCCCAGCAGGGGAGGACATTAATGCCCTGAGGTGGTGGCAGAGGCTCTAGAGAGCGTGTGTTTGGACTCAAAACTTCCCTTGCTCACAAGCTCTGTGCAGACCTTCAGACATGAGTTCGTTTGAGTGTCTTCACGTTACCTTTTTCTTCCTTCTCATATTAAAATTGATATTAGATTGAAAGAAGTGAAATTGCCATTTTGCTGGTCAAAAACAGTTGGATATTGACAGTTTTTAATGGTTGAACTCAATATATTCACAAAAATTACTTTCTGGCTAGGTATAGTCACTGTATGAGGAGGGAACTCATGTCACCTCTGTGTTTTACAATGTCAGACTATTCAAGAAAAAAGGGCTTTTCCTAAGGAGTTCTACAGTTGCACAGTGCCATTTTTCTCTAAGTCCTCTTTTCTTAGAACCTGTTTTTTCCCGTCAGACTGCCACACCTGTATGAGAACAACCAAAACTAAACACAGTGGCCAAACATACTAAAAGATTCTCAGACGTTCAATAAATAGTGCAAGTAGTACGGGTTGAACATTTCAAATCCAAAATTCCAAAATCCCAGACACTCCAAAATCCAGAACGTTTTTTTTTTTGTCCTTTTTGAGACCGGCCGCACCGTGCTCAGCCAGTGAGCGCTGTGAGCGCACCAGCGATCCCTATATAGGATCCGAACCAGTGGCGGGAGCGCTGCTGCGCTCCCAGCGCCGCACTCTCCTGAGTGCACCACGGGCTCGGCCCCAAAATCCAGAACTTTTTGAAGGCCAACATGACACTCAAAGGAAATCCTTACTGAAGCTTTTCGGATTTTGGATTTTCGGATTTGGGATGCTCAGCCAATATGTATTCTGCAAATATTCCAAAATTTGAAAAAAATCTGAAATCTGAAACACTTCTGGTCTCAGACAGTTTGGATAAGGGATACTCAACCATATATCAGGGTGATAAGGGTTCCTTCTGTGTAAGAATAGGGAGCAATTCCTTTCAAACATGACAGTTTTAAGAAAATTAACATCAGTTATTTGAAGAAATGAAATAACAGGCCAAGTAGTTTTTTGTCCTGTTTTAAGTTTATTAAATGTTCTATTTCTCCTCTTGTTAAGTAACAACAGGCCTGTTTCTGAGACTATTTCTTGAGCTTTTCCTCAGGGTTTATCCTACCTGGTTTTTTTCAGAGTACTTTCTCAGAAAAGAGTAAATGGTACTCTTTGGGCTGTAGTAGTGTTAACTAACATAAAGTTGGGTAGCTAAATTGTAATATGTGGTAGATGACAGAAGGTAGATGATAAAGGTAGTTTTTGAGGAAGAGGCAGCCGTAGTGTCAGCTGGAGAAAGCAGAAGGGAGTCTGCCCAGCTAACTGTAGAAAAAAACATGGGATCTGGTGCAGTAATGGGAAATTTAAAAAGAATGTATCCTTGGCACTTGGGAGGGTAAGAGGTGAGCCCTGGGTTTATTTGGCAAAAATGAGAGAAAATTACAGCCTAGGATGATGGAAGAAATGTTTGTTGTATTTCATAATATGTTTGTATAATGATTTAGAGTAGATATGAGTCTGGATAGTGGGAGCAAGTTTTAAGACCTCTGTCCTTGGGACCTAAAGAAGGTCATTTCACAGTTGTTTTTGAAAAGAGATCTGAATGAGTGTGCATAATTACATTTCTGAACACAATATCTGAATTTTACATTAGAGTTTTACCTTGGTGATGTCAGCTAGTGATTTTCAGTCTGTCTTGCAGAGGTGGACTGGGAGATATAAAAGGAAAGCTAGGTTTGATTTTTACCTCTGGGAATTCTACCTAATATGTTTTTTAAAAAGTTCTGCCAAAAAGTTCAAAACCACCACTTTGGTCCACTTTTCATTTAGATTGATACTAATTAGTCTACAGTGAAGCAAATATCAATTTAGATACTGCCATTGTTTAGAAGCTGTTTCATTCATAAAAACGATAAGTTTCAAAATGTGTCATCTGATTAAATTAGAATTTAGACAGAGTGAAGTCTGGCTTGAGGAAGTAACCGCTTGAGCTAAAGCCACCCTTAAATTAGAATTTAGCACATTCTTTTTAATATGCTATTATCAGTATTTGGAAATAGATCAGATTTTGCTAGTTAGTATTAGTGCATTCTATATGCTGTGGAAATTTTAAAGAAGTGATAGGAGAGATGAAAATGGCATTAAAAGAAAAAGAAGAAACCAGTTTGCAAAGCATGGCCTTGGACTACCTGAGGGTCCTTGAGACTCTTTGAAAAGGTCCACAAAGTCAAAACTATTTTTATAATACACTCATATGTCTTTTAACAATGGGCATATGTTCTGAGAAATGGATTGTTAGATGATTTTGTCATTGTACAAATTTCATAGAGTGTACTTACACAAACCTGATGGTGTAGCCTACTACACACATAGTCTATATGGTATGGCCATTGTAAAATTATGGGATCACTGTCATATATGTGATCCATCATTGATTGAAATGTTGTTGTGTAGCACATGACTGTAATACTAACACAATTTCTCTCATCTCTTATGAGTATACTGTGATGTTTAACAGGGATTACTGACAGGAAATGGTGTCTTTGCTCTGATGGCTAACGGAATGTGTACTTGTGTACTCTTTTAAAAATATCTGTCTTAATTTCTAATAAATATTACTAAACGTAGCCCACATACATAAAAAACTGTTGGAGTTCTCAATTTTTAGGAGTGTAAAGGGGTTATAAAACCAAAAGTTTGAGAACTGGTAGCCTGTGAAAACCATAGTAAGCTGTTGGAGCATTATTTTAAAGAAAAAAATTATTAAAATGGACAAATAATACTTAATAAATTATAAAATCGTTCAAGTAGAACTGAAATAATAAAAAATGAAAATTTTAGTTACCTAGTCCTATTATGTACATGTAACCGTATTACTAATAGTATGATATATATCTTTCTAGATTTAGCTCTATGCTCATAATCACATGTATATTTACTGGAAAAGTAGTATTGTGCTATCTTAAATATATTTGTATGGGTAGCTCTGTCTTATTTTAATAACTGTAGGTATTTTGCTGAATGGATATAGTGTAACTTATTTTCAACCTATTCTGTAATTATTTACAATTTGTTCACCAGCACTGATTGTGTAAAAAAGAAAACTCACTTATATTTATGGAAAATTCCTAAATAAAATGCCAGCCAATAGTTATACCATTGCTATTTGAAAAGAATCATATGATAACAAGGGGATGCCTCCTAGCAATGCAAGGATAGTTTGATTTTAGAAAATCTGTTAGAATTATTCATTTTGTAATTGAAAGGATGGAAAAACCTGTAATTATCTCATTGGGTGTTGAATAGCTATTTAGTCAGCATTCATTTCTAATAGAACAAAAGCTCATAGTAAAATAGGAAGACGTGGATAACTAAAACCACAACTCACAACTCAGCCCCATTTTAATGTTATGAAACTAGGAGTGTATCAGTCAGGTGAGGAACATTTGGATTTGCATTGCAGCTCCACCACCTGTGTCTCTGTGAGTGTGTGGTTTCAGCCTCTTGTAGCTTCAGCACCTTCATTTTAAAAATAGAAACATAGTTATCTCTTTTGGGGTCAGAATTGTTATGTGGATTTTTTGAGATTTATGTAAAACCCCTTAGTATACTTTAAAGATTCTAGATAACTAAGGGGATAATTTGTTATTGAAGGAAAAGTACAGAAGCACACATTATAAGAAAGGTTGTGTCAGATTTTATTCTGTTTTCTGTTTTAAATGATGATTTATGTTGTGCTGCAAACTTGCTTGAATCACTATAACTTCTAAGTTCCCTTTTAGAATCCTAGTTAAATGCTTAGGTAGAGGCAGTATAGCACAGTGATGAGCATGGACTCTGCAGCCAGAGCTCCTCAGTTCAGATCTTAGCTCAGCCATTTTCTAACTTTGTAATGTTAGTCAGATTATTTAGCTTCTTTGTGCCTAAGTTTCTTCGATTTAGAATGGGGATGATAGTATCATCCTTATAGTGTAATTAAGTTTAAGTGTAAAAGTGTTATTGGACTTAATGTAAAGTACTCAACACTGTACTTTATACATAGGTTGAACTGTATAAGCTTTAGGTACTGCTGTTGATGATTTGGCTAGATTATTTTCTTCTTAAATTACAAAATAACAAAATGTTCATTTTTGAAGTCTTAGAAATTATGGATAAACCAAAAAGGAGAAAAAAAGGAACATCCTCAAAATTCTACCACCCAGGCAGAGTAAATAAGTTTGCTGTGAATTCTTGTAGACTTTGTAGTGCATGTAAAGTCCTTCCTTTCTTCCCTTCCTTTCTCTCTGCCCCCTTTCCAGTCTTTATCTGTTGCATTCTTCTGTCTGGTCAACAAATACCAAGCACATGCTGCAAGCTAGTACAAGCTAGTATTGTGGTAGGACAGTGGGATTACAGTGGTGAACAGAGAAATAGGTCCTGTCCTTTATGGAGCTTGGTGTCTAGAGGGAGAAACAGATTTTCAATCGAAATAACAGAGCTGGTTATAAATGGGGATGTTTTCTTTTTCTCTTTTGTATATATTTTTAGATGTTTTGTAATTGACATGTATTGATTGTACATGTTTATGGGGTACAGAGTTATATTTCAGTACATGTGTACAATGTGTGATCAAAACAAGATAATTAGCGTATTCGTCATTGTAAAAATTTATCATTTCTTTGTGCCAAGAGCATTTGAGCTTCTCTCTTCTACCCATTTGAGAACATACAATAAAGGGTTATTTTCTGTCAAGGAAATGTATGTGGAGGTTTGAAGAGTTTCATAGGAAAACTTGATATGATCTAGTCTGGGTGTTTGGTGTTGGTAGATCTCTTATCAGTTGGAATAAGAATTGAACCAAAGCACTGTAGTTATATAAAAGTATATTGAAAGACTGACACATTTGATTATATGAATATAAAAGTAAAAAATTTTAATGAACAGATGAAAAATATATTTGTAGTTCTTATCACATATGAGGCTGATTTCTCTCATATAAAGAAGCTTCTATACGTAGATAAAAGATTAATAACCAAATGGAAAGTGAGAAAAGGTTATGAATAGACAGTTCTTAGAAATGCAAGTGACTCTTATAAGTAAAAAAAAGAGGCTCAGTTACCACTTTTAGTAAGAAAAATGTAGTTTACAGCTATAATAGGGTATTTCTGTCCTGTGAGATTGGCAGAGATCAAAGAATTCAATAACGTATTGATGAGGTTAAGTGTATGAAGGTACTTCAAAAAGTTTGTGGAATGATAAAATTAAAAGATAATACTAATCTTGCCATGAACGTTTTGAAGTACTCTCATACATGTGATGTGTAAATCAGATAATCTCTGTGGAGCGTAGTTTGTCAATGTGACAAAAATCACAAATGCACTTTCCCTTTGACCCAAAAGTTCTGCTTCCAGAAATTTACCCTATGACCATGTATTACAGTGTTGTTTGTAGTGAGAAAAGATTGGAAATAATTTAAAAGTCCATCACTGGTGTACTGGTTAAATAAGTTGTGATGCCTTCATATAATGGTAGCTTTTTATATACTGGTATGTGTGTAGCAGTCACCAAGTTATGTGACACAAGTAAGGTGCAGAATTGTGTGTAATGTTTGCCACCATTTGTGAGAAAATATGTTTTAAAATATGCACTTATGCATAAAACATCTGTGAAAGGACATGCAAGAGATGAATAACAATGGTTCCTTCTTAATAGGGAGACTGAGGACAGGTGAGGAATCTTGTTTTCATTATATATACATAACATAGATTTAAACATGACCTATTTTGCAAAAGTGAAATGGTCTTTCAGAAATCATAAAGCAATGGATAAAAATATATAGTAATATTGATGAATATAAACACTGGTTTGGATTTCTTTTTCAATTTGATCTTTTTGTATGGTTTCTTCAGACTTTTTTGACTGGCTCTGTTCCATTTGAGTCTTTGTTCTCCTTTCTGAACCAGTTTTCCGTGTTGTGTTCTCTGTTCTGTAGTTAGGAAAAATGAGGCTGACAATCCCATGCCGTGCAGTGACTTGTACACATCTGCAGTGTTTCGATGCTGCCCTTTATCTACAAATGAATGAGAAGAAGCCCACCTGGATTTGTCCTGTGTGTGACAAAAAAGCCGCCTATGAAAGTCTAATATTAGATGGGTAAGTATATCTCTTTTAACAGCTGTTGGCTATGTCTTCATTCAATACAGCCTGATATAAATGTACTTAGCACGAAGTTCAGATGTTTGCATATTTTATTTATACTTAATTATACTCAATCTTAAACTGTGGTTAGTGACCCTTTTATCTTTATGATATGATTTGTGTTGGGGACAAGAGGATGTGTATATTCTTTATTTTTGCTTTCAAGATCATGTTTTTTTTTTTTAAAAAAAAAAACCATGAGAAAGAGGGAACAGTCTGCTTAGTGATGTCATTTTGCTTACCTAGAACTTCTTGAAGTAGCAATTAGGGTCTATGCAGAAAACTGGAGGAAGTTATAGGGTAGATACAATCACATTACTGCAGCTGGTAAGATCAAAACTGGAATTCATGCCCAAGGTTTTCTGACTTTGGAGCCCAAACTCTTTTTTTGTTCTTCCTAAATTGCATTTTTTATTAGCAGCATTTGAATAAATATTATATTTGCCAAAAATTAAATTATGAAGAATATATTCCTGAATATTTAATATAGTCTTGACTATGTTCGTGTATGTATTTGATCTTTTCTTGTGTATGTTGTTTATAAGAATGTGTTAATGAAGACTATCTTATAAAGTTATTGGTTATATTCATCAGGAATATATCTTTGAAGTATATCATCTTGAATATGTATGCTTGACTGTATTTATTATGTTGAATATACTCTTGATTAGAATTTTAACTAAGAGCATAACTAAAAGTCAAGAATATTTCTTAACACACATTTGTGGCTGCTCAGTACATCTTGTAAATTCTGTGAATAAGTCATTTGTGGAGTTAATCCTTCAGCAAATTAACTTTTGGGAAATTGGCTTTTGGCAAACTGGCCCTTCATTAAATTGGCCATTTGACAAATTGGTGTTTGGTGAATTGTCCCACTTCATAATAGGTCTTGGTTGCTATGGAGCAGATCTTTTATCTTTCTTCTTTTTCAAATTTATCTTGGTTACTTACACACTTATACTTTTATGTATGTATCTTAGAATCCAGATTAAGTTCTGTGGAAAATCCTATTGAAACTTTGGAATTACAACAAATATCAAATCTTGACTAATAGGTTATTATTTGTATCTAGAGATGCTAATAATTTTTCTGTGTTGGTGCTGTACACAGCAGCCTTACCAAATGCTCTGGTTTGGTTTTTGGTTTTTGGAGTAGGACCTCCGATATAATGTATGTAAGAAGAGCAGTAATAACCATCCATGTATTGTTCTTTACTTCAGAGGAAATCTTGCTAAAATTTCATCATTAAGTAAAATGGTATTGTAGATTTTTGGATGACACTATAGCAGATTAAAAGAGTTCTCTTCTATTTCTAGTTAGATAAGCATTTTCTTTTAGTCATGAAAGGTATAGCATTTTATCAAATATTTTCCACATCTACTGAGATGATCATACATATTTTCTCCTTTAATATGATAAGTGGTCAACTACATTGATATGTCTTCTGCTATTGAGTGACAGATTCCTGGGATAAATCCTACTTGGTCAGGACATATGGGTTTTAAACAATTCTGAATTTAATTTCATTTAATATTTTTTGTTCATATTCGTTCAAAAGTGACATTACCATATGATTTTCTATTATCCTACTGTCCTTGTCTAGGTTTAGTACCAAGGTTCTCTCTTCTTTGCAACTGTTTATTTTGATGATGGTCTTAAGTACTAATTTAATGTATTTAGTAAGGTTTACAGGTCCCATAAAGTTATCAACTTTCCTTGAGTCAGTTTTGATAATTTTTCATTATGTTTTCCCCCCAAAAAATATGTTTTTGATATGCAGATGATCATAATATAAGAGCAGCTTTATTCATAATCATCCAAAACTAGAAACAATCCAGATGGCCTTTAAATGGTGAGTGGATAAATAAACTGGGTACATTTGCACAGTAGACAGTAATCTACAATTTATTTGACATCCTGGAATAGGCTAAACTATAGAGATGGAGAACAGTTTGCCAAGGGTTAGGGATAGTGGGATGAGTTGACTACAAAAGGACAGCACAAGGAAATTTGGGGAGGTGATGGAACTATTCTGTACCTTGATTATTGTGGTGATTACATGAGTTTACACACTTCTTGAAACTCAAAATTGAAAACCAAAGAAGTGAATTATTCTTTATGTAAATTTATAAATTAAAAAAAATTTAGCTGTTAAATTCTTAATTTCATGTGTGTTCCTCCCTTAAGTCAGTATACACAACATCTAAAAGTTGAGTGTAATGCTGGCTGGTTAGCTCAGTTGGTTAGAGTGCAGCCTTATAAAACCAAAGTGATGGGTTTGGAACCCCATACATGGAGCCCAAACTCTTAAACGTTATCTCTTGTAGCATATTGCATATGTCAGAATTTGGAAAAATGGTATGAACTAATTTTCAGTAAGTGAGGTATCCTTTTTTGCATGTAATCTATGTACCACTGTTAAGATTTGGAAGATGCCGTTAATGAAAAGATTAAAATAAAATCATCAACAGTCCCATCCTATGGTGATGCCTTTTTATTGATGTATTTAAAAGAGTGAAATCATACTTTATGTAACGATTTGTATGCACATATGATTTTCACTCAATATGTAATGAAAAGAATACTAGATCTTTAAAGATACTATAGCAGCATTTTTAGAAAAAGGGTTTTTTTGGTTTGTTTTTGGTTTTTACACACAAGGATCACCATCCTTATTGCAAAAAGAACTCTTAAAAATCAATCAGAAAAATCTAATCAGAAATTTGGTGAAGGGCTGGCCCGGTGGCGCGCTGCTACAGTGCGCCGCTTCGGAGTGCGGCGGCGCTCCCGCCGAGGGTTCGGATCCTACATACAGACCGGTTCCTGCTCACTGGCTGACTGAGGTGCGGGCGCGACACTGAGGGTTGCAATCTGTTGCCGGACACGAAAAAAAACAAAAAGGAAAAAAAAAAAAAAAAAGAAATGTTCTTATTAAACACGTGTGTTTCTCTGAGTGTGTGACTTATCTGTTCACATTCTTCACCAAATTTCTTTTTTTTTTTTTCTTATTAAACACGTGTGTTTCTCTGAGTGTGTGACTTATCTGTTCACATTCTTCACCAAATTTCTTTTTTTTTTTTTCTTATTAAACACGTGTGTTTCTCTGAGTGTGTGACTTATCTGTTCACATTCTTCACCAAATTTCTTTTTTTTTTTTTCTTATTAAACACGTGTGTTTCTCTGAGTGTGTGACTTATCTGTTCACATTCTTCACCAAATTTCTTTTTTTTTTTTTCTTATTAAACACGTGTGTTTCTCTGAGTGTGTGACTTATCTGTTCACATTCTTCACCAAATTTCTTTTTTTTTTTTTCTTATTAAACACGTGTGTTTCTCTGAGTGTGTGACTTATCTGTTCACATTCTTCACCAAATTTCTTTTTTTTTTTTTCTTATTAAACACGTGTGTTTCTCTGAGTGTGTGACTTATCTGTTCACATTCTTCACCAAATTTCTTTTTTTTTTTTTTTCCTTTTTTTTTTTTTTTGTTTTTTTCCGTGTCCGGCAACGGATCACAACCCTCAGTGTCGCCCCCGTACTGGACCGGGACCGGCAACGGGATCACAACCCTCAGCGCTGCACCCGTGCCTCGCTCAGCCAGTGAGTGGGAACCGGTCTGTATGTGGGATCCGAACCCTCGGCGGGAGCACCGCCGCACTTCCCAAGCGGCACGCTATAGCAGTGTGCCACCAGGCCGGCCCCTTAGAATTCTTTTGAACCATTTGAGAGTTGCGTATGTCATGCCCCCTTTGCTCATTAATATTTTAGGTTGCATTTACTAAAAATACTTGATGTTTCGTATTGTTTCTACTTTTTAATTTTAAGTTACCCTGTGATATGAACATTTTTGAAGCTGGCATTTTGTGTATGTCTGTAAAGTTTTCCTTAAGATAAGTTCTTAAAAATAGAAATGCTGAATCACAGACACTATATAGCTTTAAGACTTTTAGTATTTGTTATTAAGATGCCTTGTGGAGAAGTAAGCTCTCCTGTTAAATTATTTCACTCTCCTGCCAACAGATGTTACATTGGCCATTTCTCAGTCCTCTTCCCATTCTTACATATTAAATCTTATTTTTTAAAATGTCTATCAATTTTTTAATTGTAAAGATAGCTCATTGTTTTGATTTCTACTTATCGTGCTATTTAAATTATCAGATATTTCTTTGTTCCATGTATTAGTCGTTATAATATCTTTTACAAATTGCCTCTTAATATTCCTTTTTTAAAAAAAATTTTTTTCAGTGAGGTTGTTCATCTTTTTCTTACTGATTTATAAATGCTCCTTATATATTGAGGATATTAATTTCTCTGTCTACATATGCCAAATGTATTTTCCCAGTTGGTTTGCCTTTTAATTTTATTTATTGTGGCTTGTTTTTATTTTTCATTCAGAAGCTTTACATTTTGATTTCAAGTGTGTCTTTTCTTTTTGGATTTCTGTCCTTAAAAGTCCTAGAGATTTTATATAAACATTCACTTGTTTTTCATCAGAGACATTTATAATAATTTTTTTTTCAGTTGTGTAGTTCTTCATTTCTTATGTATTTCTTCATGAATTCATTCAACATAATTGTATTAGATCATTTCTTTTGCTTATAATAGAATATCTGAAACTGGGTAATCGATAAAGAAATGCAATTTATTTCTTAGAGTTTTGGAGGCTGGGAAGTTCACAGTTCAGGGTGTGCATCTGGTGAGGGCCTTCTGATGGGAACTCTCTACAGGGTCCTGAACTACCAGGGTATCACATGGTGAGAATGGTCTGAGCAAAAGAGAACTAAACTTCTTACTTGCTCTCCTTATAAAGCCGTCAGAGTCACACCTATTACTCCATGAATGCGTTAATCCATTCACAAAGGCACAGTCCTCATAAATCTAATCACCTCTTAAAGGCCCCACCTTTCACATACCATAATTGGATTTCCCACCCCCTTAACATCATTAGAATGGAGGTCAAGTTTCCAGTATGTGAACTTTGGGGAGATGCATTTGATACACAGCAACAATACTTACCTGTTATGTCTTAGATACTGAGTGTAAAATGGTGAACACAGCATTTCTAGTGTGGGAGACAGTAAAAAATTGCATATTAAGTGTTACATGCTACGAAGGTAAGGAGTGGACTATGTGAGGAAAACGGAATGGAGAAGAAACTTTAGGGTAGGGAGTGGATGATTCCATTAAGGTAGGGATCACCCAAGCCTACCACCCAGATTGGTTGTCAGTAGTCTTAACAACATTTATTTCATTTCTCCCACGGCCTTGAGATACTACCTGTATCATCTAATATAGTCTGATAGATACTAGTGTTAATTTCTGAACTGCTGTTTGTTCCATTGATCAAAGTATTAGTGGGCCAATACAAAACTAGTTACTTGATTATATGTTAATATTTCTTAGACCATTTTTTTTCAGAATTTTCCCGACTTGTATTACAATATATTCTGCCATTTTCACTTGAGTAAAAGTGTTCTCAAATTACACAAAACAATCATGTTTGAATTTTGCTTGGAATTATACTAAGTTTTCAGTATAGTTGGGGAAAGTAAACATCTTCTCATGGAAGAGGGATTTTTTCCTTTTTACTTATTTTTACCAGCTTTATGAGTTATGAGAACTGCACATATGTAAAGTGTACAATTTGATAAATTTTGACCTGTATATACCTGTGAAATCATCACCCCAACAAGATATTGAATATATCCATCACACCCAGTGTTTTCTCTTGTATCTACTTTTTCCCATCACTCAGTCCTCAGGCAAACACTGATATGCTTTCTGTTCCTGTAGATTAGCTCAGATTTTTTAGAATTTTATATGAATGCAGTCATAAAGTACATGCTTCCTTTGTCTAGCGTTTTTTACTCAGCATACTTATTTGAGATGCCTCCATATTGCCACATGTACTGATAGTTCATTTTTATTGCTGAGTCACTTTCTGTTGTATAGATAGATATGCCAGTTTATCAGTTCACATGTTGATGGGTCTTTTCTGGTTTTGGGCTGTTGCAAGTAGAGCTGCTGTGAACATTCCTGCCCAGGTCTTTGTGTGGATAACTGTTTTCATTTATCTTGGGTTAGGGTTAGGGTTAGTGGAATGCCTGGTCACATGCTTGGGTGTATGCTTAACTTTTTAAGAAACTGTCAAACTGTTTTCCAAAGTTGTTGTACTGTTTTATGTTTCCACTAGCAATATTATGAGAGTTCCAGTTACTTTGCATTCTCACCAACATTTGGTGTGGTTAGTCTTTTTAATTTTAAACATTCTAGTGGTATACAGTGATACCCCATTGCAGATTACTTTGCTTTCCCTTTTTACCAATCATATTGAGCATTTTCTGTGTTTATTCTCCATCTGTATGTCTTTGGTAAAATGACTCTTTAAACTTTTGCCTATATTTTAATTGGGTTTATTTTCATATTATGAGTCTTGATGGTTCTTTATGTATTCTAGATACAAATTTGTTATCAGATATGTGATTTGTAAATATTTTCTGCCGTTTTATCTTTTTAATCTCTTTACAATGTCTTCTACGGTTTTTTTGGTGGCTGGACAGTATGGGGATCCTAACCCATGACCTTTGTGTTTTAAGGCTGACCTCTAACCCGCTTTGCTAACCAGCCAGCCCTACCAGTGTCTTTCAGATAGCAGAAGTGCTTAATTTGGATGAAGTCCAATTTATTAAGTTTATCTTTTATGGACTGCGCTTTTGGTATCATATTAAGACATTACCCCCTTACTGTAGGTCACAGAAATTTTCTCCAAGTTTTTTTTTTTTTTTTTTTTTTTTCAGGAGTGAAATACTACAAGGAAGAGGACATCTTCTCCTCCAGAAAAGCCTTAAATATAACTCTCAAGAAAGTGGAGCTAGGCAGCCGAGAGGCCACCTGATGAGGCTGAGACTGCGGCCCTGGCTTCTGGCTCTACTCTGCTGTACCTTACTGTGAGACCTTAGATAAGTTTGGTTTCTCATCCTTGTCCTGGTTGTGGGGCTGGTTGCAATAGAGAGTGTCTTTGACCAGGATGAGTTTTGCAGTTGGCAGGGCAGTACCCCTGTGCCATGTTCTATATCAAGTTAATTTTTGTGTATGGTGTAAGGTAAAGATCAAGATGGGGTTTTTTTGTTGTTGTTGTTTTTTGTTTTGCATGGTCATGTGATTGTTATACCACAATTTATTTGCTCAGAAGATTGTTTTTTCCTGATTGAATTGCCTTTGCACCTTTCTCAAAAATCAGTTGCTGTATGTGTGTGGGATCTACCTCTGGACCCTGTTCCCAGTGAATTGCGAAGTAGTGGTATTATTTCTCCTCAAATATTTGATAGAATTCTGTAGTGAAGACATTTGGGCCTGGGGTTTTCTTTGTGGTAGTCATTAACTACAAATCCAATTTCTTTAATAGACATAGGGCTCCTTGGGTTATGTATTTTTTTTCAAGTGAGCTGCAGTAAGTCTGACTAGAAGTTTGTCAGTTTTATTGATCTATTCATAGAATCATATTTTTTGTTTCAGTGATTTATCTGTGTTTTTCTTTTTTTTCTATTTCATTTGTTCCTGTTCTATTTTTTATTTCCCTTTCTTACTTTCACTTTAATTGGCTCTTTCTAGTTTCATTTATTGATTTGAGACCTATTCTAATAGGGAAGATTATTGCTATAAATTTTTGTTTAAGTACTGCTTTAACTACAGTCCGTACATTTTATTACACTTTCATTTTCATTCAGTTCAAAATATTGTCTCATTTGTTTCTATTTTGTCTTTGTCTTACGGGGTGTTTTGTTTAGTTTCCAAATACTTGGGGATTTTCCAGTTAATTTTCTCATACTGACTTTAATTCCGTTTGGGTCATTGAACATAATTTGCATGCTTTGAGTTATTTTAAATTTATTGAGATTTCTTTTATGTTCATACTTTTCCCTCCTTCCCCCACCCCTTGATCATTTTTTGTTGTTATTAAAGCTTATAAATTATTTTATTATATAATAACCTTTGTCTACTTATTTTTGTTTTATGTGCTGTGTTGGAGGTTGTTCTTATTGCCAATCCCAGCTAGGAGACTCCGTCCAGGTGTCTATTATCTGTTTAGCCACTGATATATTAGATGATACTCAGTAAGTCACTTAATTTTGTGTTGTCTGTTACAAATGTAAAACCTAGGAGGAAGGAACAATAATAGTTGTTATAAAGTATGAAATACTGAAATACCAGATAAAAAAAAAGATCAGGTTGCATTACTTTTTTCTCCAGGGTAATGCGTCTTTTTTTATTTTACCTTTGAACAAAGCCATTGATTCCATGTATGTGCTTCTTAATTGGTTTGTAGGCTTTTTATGGAAATTCTCAATGACTGTTCTGATGTGGACGAAATCAAATTTCAAGAAGATGGTTCTTGGTGTCCAATGAGACCGAAGAAAGAAGCTATGAAAGTATCCGGCCAACCGTGTACTAAAATAGAAAGTATGTGCAGAATGGCCGCAGAGAGCAAAGCAATGAGACTTGTGCAGCGCTGGCCACTAGCCTTACATTTGGAGCTCAGTTTGCTAACTTTATCTTTTGATCATCTGTCACATATGTAATTTCCCCCCAAATGCTTTTTATTCTTCCCTTTAAAAATGCGGTAAGGTTTATACCATCTTATCAGCCTTTTCATGGTATATTTTTCACATGTAAAATAAATGAAACAGTCACCTAAAATCATTTTAATGTATAGTGTTTGTTACAAACTGAAAAGTTACAATTGACATTTAAATGAACAGTTTGTCATAGTTGTTCTTAGAGTATCTGTAGGCTGAACCCCATGTGAAGGTGTGGTTAGAGAGGCAGCATCATCCATTGAGGGATGGGGGTGGGAAAGCGGTCATAGTAGCTGCCAGGAAAGTGAACAAATTGTTTCCTTCTGTCTCTTTGTGGGAAGGAGTTTTACTTTGCTTTGTTTACCTAGAAAGTATACTCATCCTTCAGTTCCCTGCCCCTGTCCACACTGAGTGGGAAACTAAGGGCAGTTTGAGTAACTGAACATAGTTTCTTTTTATCTAACACAATCTACTTACTGTATTTGGGTTTTGTTCTGACTGTATTTGAAGTTCTATCAAACAGTGTAATGGATAATAGATTTTCAGAGTAAAAAAGAGAGCAGAAATATAAAGGATTTATGCCAATATTAATTATTTTCCTGTGATTGATGCTAAACCTAAGAGTACAATGACCAAAGTTTCTCTCATCTTTGGGAAAAATGGGGAGTGATTTAATTGATTAGTTATTGCTATTTTTCCATTATGAATAAACAGTTAATTTTATTTAAATAGATTACAGAGAATAATATACTTTTCTGTAATAATGTGAGTTGTTATGGTATATGAGATTATCTTAGTGGATGGAAAGAATGTAGTAGATAATTCATAAGAAAGGCTTTAAATGTCTAAGTAAGTGAGACGTTTGGGGGTTTTTCCCACTTATTAGGGTTTTCATCTTTTTGTGAAGTTGTGGCTTATGGCAACTAGTTTGTATATTCTTTGACATGAGTGTGATTGCTAGAATGGAAGTATCTGATTCTGACTTAACTGTACCACATGTCTGTAAGAATACACAGCAGTGAAACCACATACTCTTGTCCCATGGCCTGAGACCAGTTACCTAACTCCAGATGTCTGTCTATGAAATGACTGCTAACCTGGGAAGACAGGGTAAGCAACAGGATCTGCACAGATCATTGACAGTACTGGAGAGAGACTTAAGAGCAAGCTGTCTGAAGGAGGCTTTTGACCCTCTGTCAGGGAATAGAGCTCTCCCCTATGTCCCCAGGTAAGCAGTCATATTACAGATAAACACCTGGTGTTAGGGACTTGGTTTCTTTCCATGGGGTGGAGTATGTGGCTTTACTGGCTGTATATTGTTATGGATATACTACATAGTCAAGACTTTTACAGCTAAATTTTATAGGTGTTATATACCTTTGATTTTTTTTTTTGTCTTTCTTCTATTTCCCTACATGCAGGTTCAAGTGTCCTCAGTAAGCCTTGTTCAGTGACTGTAGCCAGTGAGGCAAGCAAGAAGAAAGTGGATGTTATTGACCTAACAATAGAAAGCTCTTCTGATGAAGAGGAAGACCCTCCTGCCAAAAGGAAATGCATCTTTATGTCAGAAACACAAAGCAGCCCAACCAAAGGGTTTGTTAATTTCTAGTTCACTACTGTTCATTACATTTGCACTAACTGTTCTTGGGATAGGTGTGTAAATGTCTCTTTGAGAAGTCGCATAACCGTAGAAAGCTATTTTAATTTACCTTTGTTCAGTTGAAATATTTTGAAGGAAGCATGTTGTTTATAGTAGAGCAAATTTTGATGAAGAAAATATTCACATCTTTGGGAAGTGAAAGTTTGAGTTATTTCATATACGTAATACTTTTGTTATTTTCTCGAACCTATTTGTAAGGAAATTTGACATCTCAGACTGACATGAGGAAGCCTAGTATAACGGAGTATAGGACTGGGAATCTGACAAGTACGTGTTCTGTAATCTTGGATGAAATACTTACCTTGTTTAAACCTCCTGTTTTTGTTCTGTAAAGTGGGGTTAAATAATGCCTACCATATAGGATTATTGTCAGGTTTCAATGAGGTAATGAATGAACTTAGCCAGTGTCAGGCACATGGTAGTTTCTCAATAAAAATGGATTGCCTTCCCTCTCATCCTCTTCAGGGCAGAATACAGGCAACAGGTGTATTCTAGCATGTATTATTTATGATTTATCTGGCAGAAGCCATTACTGACCTATCGTAAAAGACAGGTCCAAGTATCTAGCAACAAGTTCTTCTCACAGAGAGATTTTGAATCACCCAAGGAGGTAACAGGATTCTTTTGATGGCACATGAATGCATTTTTTCAAACTTGGGTGGGCAAGTCTCCTCTCTTATTTTTTCCAGTGTCTTTATTGGAAAAAAGCATAATGTCTTTTATGTCTTTATAGCATAAAATTCACCCATCTTAAGTATATAATAGCACAATTCAGTGATTTTAGTAAATTCAGAGTTGTACAATCACCATTACATTTCAGTTGCAGAATATTTCCAACACCCAAAATACTATCCCTGTGTGTGTTTGCAGTTTTATTCCCATTCACCCCTGAATCTAGGCAACCACTGATATTTTCATGTAAGTGTGTCTGTTCTGGACATTTTATATCAATGGAATTGTATTCTGTACTTTTGCAACATTCTTTTTTACAGCTCTTTTATAGTTACTTTGAAACTACTTTTATAGTTACTTTTAAAAATTAAACCTTTAGAGCTGCCTTCTTTACTGTTAAAAAAAAATGTATTTCCAGATATGATTTACACATAATAAGGGCATATATTTTCTTTTACCTATTTAATTAGAATGAGGTTTTTTTTTAAGTATAACAGAAAATGAGGAAAGTATTTAGAGTGGGCTTTTTTTTTTTTTGTAAGCAAATGAGAAAGAATAGAGAATGAGAAATCAGTAAAACTTATTTTAACTTACAGTCCAGAAATTATGTGGGCAGCTATTTTTTAAGAGGTATATTGTTTTAGTAAAAATTATTCTTATTAACAATTTTACAAAGTAAGCAAATGAGAAAGAATAGAGAATGAGAAATCAGTAAAACTTATTTTAACTTACAGTCCAGAAATTATGTGAGCAGCTATTTTTTAAGAGGTATATTGTTTTAGTAAAAATTATTCTTATTAACAATTTTACAAAGCACCAAGAAGAAAGTAAAAAGTATCTCACCTAGAGAGATCCACTGTTAATATTTTGATGGCAATTCTAGCTAGCCCCTTTTCTTGAATACCTACTGGAATCTTTAAATTTAGTATTATAATACCTAATCAGAAGGAACTGGTACATTAATCTAAGATGTTCAGAAAACCTGATGTTTTTCTGTAATCAGAGAGAATTTTACATATTGTGTTCCTATCTCACTCTCTGGAAATTGAACGGTTACTTTGTTGTTAATAAGGAGGTATTCTAAAGATAAGAAACAAAGAATAAGGATAAATATTTATGTTCCTGGATGAAGAATCTTTAGGAATTGGTAGCAAAATTGAATCTTTTTAATACTTTTATGATCATATAGTAGGAGCACCCAGTAAACTTCAGGTTGGTTTATTAATAAAAATTGTCAACCCATTTTCAGACATTTAAGTCTGGGCCGAACATGAACTCCATGCAATTCTGATCTAATACACAATCTGGAATACTAATATTTGCTTTCTAGCAGCATTCTAGTAATTTACTTTTGTGCTGTGATATTGTGGATAAAGTTACAAAAATTTAAAATATATATCTACACTTAATAATTCGTACATGTGCCTGTGTGTGTATTTGCCAATTCTGTAAGGAGGCAGCAACAGATTTTAATAGCTTTAAAAATTTTTTTATTACTTTATAACATCACATTGTTATACCCATAATTGCACCAGACATAGATATTTATATTTCTTTATGGAACTTCTTATTCATCTATGTAAATCTGTTTGTTTTTTGCATAGGCTCTAAAGATATTTTATGTTTCTGAATGTGAAGATTCTGATAAAACAAAAATCTGCCACCAGTATATAATTTGGTAATCCTAACTAATGACTCGTTTCAGTTATTCTATATAAAACTGAGTTCGTGTTAGTAGTTGCAAAGTTCAGGTAATAGGAATTAACCAATACCAGATAGTTTAGCTTTTCATATGTTTGCTGAGGTTTTAGATGTTGATTTAATAATTTGTACCCCCATTAGATTTTGGCATTTTCGCTTGTTTTGACAGTGAACATTTTGGTATTGGAGAAAAAAGGAATAGTTATTTAATTGTTTAAAGTTTCATGTTGTTATGTGAACTGGACATAAGCAGCAATTAAGAGGCAGGAGGAAGACAGGCACTTTTTCTTATAAACCTACAATTCTTTTAGTTTCTTTCAGTGACAGAAAAATGATAGGTTAAATGTATTTTTTAAATAGGAACTTTTAAAGATAAACGAATCAGTCTCAGTCTCTCTCATTGCATATTTGTGTATAAATTGGTCTTCAAGAGCTTGCCTCTTAAACATTTAAAAAAGTAAGACTAAGGTATTAATACTGTGAGGTAGCCAGAATAATCAAAGCCACTTTTTTATCTTCCTTCCCAGCACTAACACATACCCAATCTCTTTCCCCTTCTTACCCTCTGTGTCCCTTCTCCAGTTTCTGATACGCATTCCTTTGTGGGAGGTGGACTCATGTCATTTGAAAACACTTGGTGATTTCTTGTTCCTCTGCTTTCATCCCTATAGAGGACCACTGTTTTCTAACCTCCAGAAAGAGATGAGCTTTAGATACAACATAACTTATTTAATTTCATCCCAAGTTCTCTCTTCCCCAGGTCTGCCATTTCTAACATCACTCACATCCTGCTTGTGCTTTTAGGTCTTCAGGTAGAATTGGGGGTCAAGAAACCTCCTGATTCTAACCTAAGCAGGTTGATCTTTGGAAGATGACTTCTTTCTATTTTCGTCTACCTCTGGAAAATGTTTTGAAATACCAGGCTTATGTTATAGCTTTGAGCATATTATGTTTCACATACTTCCTAAATGGATTGGTTTTTAATATTTCTAAACTCTGACCTGTGTCATTTATCTACTTTTCTGAGACTAACATAGTTGCCAGCACAACCATATATGTACTCTCAAGATGACTTTGTTTTTCACATTACCAGTGGCTCCATATTTTTGACAAATACTACAGAATAACAGCTAGACAAGGTCCTCATGTCATAATGCATACCTGTTTTGGAAGGACTCTACTGTCTAAACAGGTTGTGTTTATTTAAATGGTTTAACATTTAAATCGAAGTTATGTAATAGTTTGTCAGTTATTTAGAATATGAAGAATATCATGCGAATGTTATCATTTTATATTTAACAATGTGAGCAATAATAGGAAGTGTTTTAAACCAAGAAGTCTTGAGTTGTCATTCCAGTCAAGCTTTGTGAACATGGTCCCACTTTAAGTTTCTATGAAAGTTGCACTTACTTCATCTTTGTAATGGTCCCTTCCAGCTACAGAATTCAGTGACTCAGTCATTAAACTTAACAGTAGTTGTCTGACAGTGATTTGGGATGCATACCTTAATGTTTTGACCCTGTTCACATCTCATTACTTGTTGGCAGGATGGCCACCATCAACCATCGCATCAGTAATGTTGCTCAGTTTCTTATGTTCATTCAAGATGTTTTTCTCTTTTCCAAAGTTCTATTTGTTTACCTTGGGCTAAGAGAAAATGCAGATTATATAGGAAGAATGCAAAATCATCTCTTTAAATCTGAACTTTTTCAAAAATATGTTTAATTATACTGCTTGAAATTATAAAGTTATATAGTGTGTATATATTTTTATATAGTACCAATTGTAAAGTATTTCATTTGTGTGTTTAATTTGTATTTTTAGTAGCAATAACAGCTAATTTCAAAGTCATAAACCCTCTTTTAAGAATACGTGGTATTTTTATTTCTGGATATTATATCTTCAATCCTGAATAATCATCTTATTCTAATTTCTGATTGTGGCCTAACTGCCGTCAAGTTGGCTGGCTTTAGGATCAGCTAACTTTGTTCAGATGATTCCCAGATAAGATTGCAAATAATGTATGCAATTCAAGTTAGAATTGAAGAAATTCTAGTTGAGCTATGGCAAGTAGCTTCACTCATAAAGGTGCCCTGATTTAAATCAAATCTTAGGAGTCCTCTATTTTAGTTTTATTTTTTTTATAGGTAACATTACTAATAACCACATACATGTTATATATACGTTAATAAAAGTGTGTATAAAGTATATTTCTATTTGTGGATGAAAGTGTTGTGTCTTTCTCCAGCACTGTACGTTATGTTTTAATGTCAACTTGCTCTTATGTCACAGCTGCTGTTGAGAGCCAAGATACGTTCATGTTAAAATGAAGGCTGTTATGAGAGAGGAGAGTAGAGCGGAGTACTGTGTAGTGAGTAGTTGCCAAATAGTTATGCTGAAACTTAGTGAACGTATGACTGAGATTGCCCAGTGGTGCTGCTGTTCTCTCCTGCAAACTAACAGCCAGACTGTTTGTAATTTCCCATGCTATTTAAAACAGGGTTCTCATGTATCAGCCATCTTCTGTAAGGGTGCCCAGTGTGACTTCGGTTGATCCTGCTGCTATTCCGCCTTCATTAACAGACTACTCAGTACCATTCCACCACACGCCAATATCAAGCATGTCATCAGATTTGCCAGGTATGTGGAGAGTTTTTGTTTTCTTTTGTTTTTTTCCTCAGCTTTTGTTTATTTTTAATCTTAATTGGTGGAGCAAATATAGTTTTAAAATTTTAAATAGAAGCGCTAAGGAAATTTAAAGCCTTCATGTAAAGGTTGTATCTGTTTTAATATATCTAACATTCAGTTGTTATTTTAACTTCAGAGCAATCTATAGTTTCCTGATGATAGGAAATACAGTAGACTAGTAGAAAAACTTTATGGAATTTATTCTCCCTTGAGAGAATTTGTACTCAGAGACTTCTTTTTTTGGTTTATTTATCATAGAAGCTTCATAGGTTAGGGAGAGTATTTTCTCATTCTCTTCTTGGTAGCGCATCAGATCTTCAGAATATACTGATGTATTTTGGGGCCAATTTTGTCTACCAGCATTTACCTTGTGGATTTTATTCCCCATATAAAGATAGGATCTGCCATCAGTGTCCCTAGAGCAGTGCTTAATACTTGGGTATATCTTTTATATATACAGTAGACCCCCTTTATCCACAGGGGATATATTCCAGGACCCCCAGTGGATGCCTGAAACTGCAGATAGTACCATACCCTATGTATACTATTTTTTCCCCTGTACATGCATACCTATGGTAAGGTTTATATATTAGGCACAGTAAAAGATTAATAACAATAACTAATAATAAAATTGAACAATTATGACAATATACTGGCATCCCTACTCTTGCACTTTGGAGCCATTAAGTAAAGTAAAGTAAGGGTTACTTGAACACAGCACTGCAGTATTGCTGCAGTCTATCTGATAACTATGTCAGCTACTACATGGATATGCTGGACAAAGGGATGATTCATGTCCAGGGTGGGATGGAGTGGGATGGATGAGATCTTATTACGCTACACAGAACAGCATGCAATTTAAAACTTGTGAATTGTTTATTTCTGGAATTTTTCATTTAATATTTTCGAACTGTGGTTGGGCACACAGGTAACTGAAACAGAAACTGTGGGAAGTGAAATTTCAGATAAGACGGAGACTACTGTAAAATAACTCAACACTTAAAAAACTCAAAGTTATTTATTGTCTTAGTACCAGGACTTATGCAACCAAGGTCATATTATACAAAATTTAAACATCTCCCTTCTTACTCTTCTGTCTCTCCATAGCCACCATTGTTTTTGCATACATTTTTGTCACTTGAATTTGAGCAAGTTGCAACCAGTGCCTCTAGTATTCATGACTTTCATTCTCCCTGAAGGGCTGTTTTTATTAGAATAGAATTCCCTCTTCCTGTAATTTTCTTCTCTAGATTTATGAAATTGGTTTTGACCCATGGTTTATTTTTCTTTCTCCCCTTAGTGAGGTCTATATTTTAAGCACAGTACTCATTCTTCTGGGCAAAGTTTGTGTTATTGAAACAATTAATAGTTGTGTTATTTGGCCTAGTATAATTTTGCCACTTGAAATTTATTTAGCTTATTTGAATAAAATCAGTACTCATTCTTCTGGGCAAAGTTTGTGTTATTGAAACAATTAATATTGTGTTATTTGGCCTAGTATAATTTTGCCACTTGAAATTTATTTAGCTTATTTGAATAAAATTTAGTGGAAAAGTATAGACTAAATATAGTATCCATCAAAACAACTTTTTAAAAATACTTTTTGCTTCTTAAATGTGTTTACTCCATATGTAATTTGGGAACTGGTATTTTTAAAAGTTCTTTGCAAACCCAGCTAGCACCAGTTGTAAAGTATTGGTTGTATACAAAACCTGATGCTAAGGTACGGGTTGAGGTTTCGTGGCACATGATGAAGATGGAAATTCAGAGATTCTTCGTTCCTAACTGCCGTGTATTGCTGTAACCTTGGCTAGTTTGAAGAGTGTCCACATGTCATTTTAGTATGTATTATAAAAAAGCATTCCAAAGGGATTTGTTTCCTAAAGACCTTGAATTAAAAATCAATCCTGAAAAAAAGATAATGAACATTTTTGCTTATTAAAATGACCCTGGCCATTTAGCAATAGCATAGACAATTTATAAATGGCTTGCTCTGTTCATTTTCATATTATGTGAGCCTGGATGGATTTTTAATTTGGGACAATTTTTATTATTTCAAAATTTGGGCATAAAGTGAGACTATTTCTTTTTAAAAAGGTGCAGATTTGAGAAAAATGCAGGGAAATATGTCTGAACCATATATTTACTAAAATGCATTTCAATCTGATATTGAGGAAATAATAATATCCAGGGCTGATATTTAGCCAATATAAACCATTATGGTGATACTGGTTGTTAAAATGTTGAAAAGCTGTTTTACCAGTTGGTAGATCGAATAGAGTAGGATCTGTTGTGCTTTAGAAGAATTGCTAGCTTATCGTCATCTATGAATTATGTAGCAGTTACTACATCTAAATAGTTTTTACTTTGGTTTTATTGTTAATGTGCTCTTTTGTAATTAGCAATTACTTTGGTTTTATTTTTGTGCATAATTTTTATGTAATTAGTCATACTGTGCACTTTTGGTATTGATAAATCTAATAATTTATAATAAAATATTAAATAGAACACCAAGAATGGAAAGATGACAGTTTTAATAAATTTCTTAACATTCCTTTTAAACATCATAAACATGAATCTTCTGAATCTGCAGGAGAACAAAGAAGAAATGATATTAATAATGAACTGCAGCTTGGAACATCTTCTGATACTGTGCAACAATGAATACAAAATAAAACAAATAATTTGTATTTATGGAATGGAAAACAGCTTGATTATTTCAAGAAAAAATATGAATGCCTTATTGCTAGTGCCATCTTGTCAGGTGTGAATGGTGCTCAAAAGTTGTTTCATTAAAATTTGAAAGTGCTAAACATTTACATACTTAATCATGTAGCAATCATGTTTTGTTAAAGTTTATGGCTCAAGTAAAGAAAATGTTATGTTCAATAAGGGAAAAAAAAACTAAATGAGTCAGTTTTCCATAATGAAACATTTAAAATTTAAAAATTACAATTTTATCAGTGTTAATAAAATAAAAGCATTTATATTGTACCGTCAGAATTTTTAACACTACCTGCTTTTTAGTTAAAAATAATTGAGCATTTTCAACCATGAAATACTTCGGAGGGCATAAAAATATATCAGTATGATGTGTGGCAATTGAAACTTATGGTGAAATAAGGAAATAGCATTTTGCAAAACGTATAAAACAAGGCAGTAAAATTTTAATCACTGTTGATGAATTTCATCTGTTTGAGAGGAGTTTTAATAATTTTAAAATGCAAGACTTTGATAGTTTAGTTTTTTATTAGAAGGAATAACATCTGAAATACTATATCAAATTTTACTGTTAGTGTTTGAGAAAAGATGGTTTCAGTGAGAAATATTTACATTAAAACCGTACTGGATTTTGTATAGATAGCACCTGTGTGATGCTTGGAAGGCAAATTAGAGTTTCAACGAAAATTTTAGAAAAATTTCTAGCCATTTTATTATGTTGTTAATATAAGTCACCATATGCAGTCATCTGTGGATGAGGTATCAAAAGATACCAAGTGAATCTCTTAAACCTTTTCTAAATAGACTATACTTACTGGCATACGTGAAATCATCAAAGAAAATTACAGTACATCTGAAGAGCTGGAAACTGAAATAATGAAAATAGGAAGAGTCTTTGGACCTTGATGGGCATCCACTAATGATAGAGCTGCAAAAACAGTTTCTAAGTATATAAAACCCGTGCATTTATTTTAATTAAAGTTATAAAATGGGAATAGTGAACATCTAGAAAATAAGTGTTTTTGAGTGATTTGGCTTCAGTATACAATATCCCAGCAGAAATGTCAATAATTTCTTTAGTTTTATAAAATGTTTCCAGTTATTAAAATAGACTGAGTGATACAAGATTCAAAGTGACTGAACATATAAAACTGAAAAACTAAAACAGTAAAAGTGTTCCCCATAAATATGTTTGATTTTGTGTCAATTAAAAAATGATTAAAATGGGGGCCGGCCCGGTGGCGCACTGCTACAGTGCGCTGCTTGGGAGTGTGGCAGTGCTCCCGCTGAGGGTTCGGATCCCACATATAGACCGGCCGCTCACTGGCTGAGCAAGGTGCGGGCGCAACACCGAGGGTTGCGATCCCGTTGCCGGTCCTGGTCCGGTACGGGCACGACACTGAGGGTTGCGATCCATTGCCGGACACGGAAAAAAAGACAAAAGACAAAAAAAAAAAACCTTCTTTTTTTTTTTTTTTTTTTTTTTTTTTGTCTTTTTCCGTGGTGCGGGCGCAACACCGAGGGTTGCGATCCCGTTGCCGGTCCTGGTCCGGTACGGGCACTACACTGAGGGTTGCGATCCATTGCCGGTCAAGAAAAATGACAAAAAGGAAAAAAAAATTATAATAAAAAAAAATGATTAAAATGGTAAAAAAAAAAAAAAGTAGAAGCTATTGTAAAAATGAAGAAAATATTATACTGTTTGAAGCAAAACAAAATAAAATTGCTAAATTAAGCCAATTAACAGTCCAATAAACTTTTTGTGGCTTAGTCAATAATAGAAATATTGGATATATAAAACTCCCAGAAGGTATTATAAGGGATAAAATTTTGGATTACTGTTTGGCAGAAGCAGAGAGAGGGTTAATTGAACAATATCATTGATGTCAAGAGAAACTCTGCTTATTGATTCATGTCACTTATTGATTATCATTTTAATGGGGAACTCACTGGAAAAGTTCATTGTGATTCCCTTTGTCCAGTGTTGGCTTAAACTCCTGTATCATATGGCTAGTGACGGTTATGAAATGAAAAAATATAGCAGTAATTTTTAAAAATGTGTTTAGTTGTTTGAATGATTTCTTTCAAATGATTGGTGCTACAGCTTGTATCACTTGGTAAGCATTTTATAAACCTCTTACTTAGAGATTATAAAGGAATAAATATACTTTAACATTTTTGAGTTATTATTTATAGTGGTTATTAAGTATTTTAAATATCCCCACTAATATTCTTTGTTTTAAGTAGCAGTATTGGACCTTCACTCTATGTAGTTATTATATTGGGGTGACATTGAATGCCAACATATACAAATTCATGGAACTGAATAGAAATTGGCCTGTCTTAATTACCTATACCTAGTGTGTGATTTCTTGTTTAAAGATCTGAAGTAACTGAAAATAATTTAGTCACACAGAGGAGGAGGTCTAGGGGAACAGACTTTGAAATTTATTGCTGGACTTTTCAGACATGAAATTTTTTATTATTTATGGTTATTCCTTTACTACTTGAAAATGATATTACTGGGCAGCCTTTTCCACATTCCTGTTTCTAAGACATAATTGGAGAATCTATTCTTTGGTTTAGAAAACTGTATTAGCTTAGAACCCAGTAAACCTTGATAGTCGTTAGCTTATTAGTGAGCAGCAGTTACCAGGTGCTTGCTTTGTGCAGAGCTTTGGACTGTGTAGTTCTGTTGATGTGGGAACCAGGGAGACAGAGAGCCATCAATAAAGTAGACATCTGTTTAAGAAGTGATATTTTAGGTGAACCTGAATGTAGTATATTTCTGAAAAATAAATGTGAAGTATCTTAAGAGCCTAAGTGTTTTATTTTTTTTTAAGGTCCAAATTCAGATCATTATCTTATCATTTTTATTGCTTCTCATTCAGTTCAGTGACAAAGGGGAAGCATTTGCTTTGACTAGTTCCACTTCTCCAGAAGTTTTTGGACTGCTGCCTTTGAGGCACTGGGAGGTGTTTTTTCCAGTTGTTTTGTCAGGGAACATGTTCATCTTCTGGTTTATACACATTAAATGTCACTGATCATTGTGTAGAACCTCCCTATGGCAGAGTGTGGTAAGCACTTACCTCAAATGTTTTGTGACTTATGATAAATACAGTATGATTTGGGGAAATAATTCTGGACTCCAAAATATGAGACAACTATTAACAAAGCATTTTTGTTTTAGGTTTGGATTTTCTTTCCCTTATTCCAGTTGATCCCCAGGTATGTATCCTGAATTTAAGCAACTAATTTGTATTAAATTGTTGGTTATGTTATACTAACTAAAAATGACCAGTTGCATAAAATCAGGACAGTCAACTCTCAATTACTTACACTGTTGGAAAGGAAGTAATATATATATTTTTTACAATTTTATTTGGAGGAATAAAGTTGCTGTTTTTCAATTTATTATATTTTTGTCCTTAATACCTAAATTTTAAATTATATTTAATTTAGCTTGATCAGTCGACCTTTTTAGCAAGCATTTGAGTGGTTATAATCAGTTATGCTTCAATTTTAAAAAAATGTAAAAACAGGGCCGGCCCAGTGGCGCACTGCGCTAGTGCGCCGCTTGGGAAGCGCGGCAGCGCTCCCGCTGAGGGTTCGGATCCCACATACAGACCGGTTCCCGCTCACTGGCTGAGCGAGGCGCGGGGGCAACACCGAGGGTTGCGATCCCGTTGCCGGTCCCGGTCCGGTACGGGGGCGACACTGAGGGTTGCGATCCGTTGCCGGACACGGAAAAAAGACAAAAAAAAAAAAAAATGTAAAAACAAAAAAATAATCAGTGGAAGTGGTGCCACATGGCTGGAGATTAAAATTTTTACAAATAAAATTTTATTTTATAGATACAACACCTATTCTATACGTAGAAAATCAATAACTAAAGCTGATTAAACAGGCTTGACTCATTAGCTTGATTCTCCACTGTTTTTAAAAACAATCAGATTCAGACTTTGAGGATACCTGCTTTTTCTGTTAAAGAAGCTGTAGTATCCCAGAGTCTCAACATGAAGACCTTGCAGTGGGCATGGATTCCACTTTGCTTATAGCAGAGGCAGAACAGAGTTCGAGGAAAAGGCATGAGGAGAGTGAAACTGAGAAAGAAAGAAAGGTTTTGAAAGGTGTTGAGAGTAGGGAGGAGGGATAGAGGAAGAACCACGGATCACTGCTTTCTGGGCCACTCAGAATCAGCTAACCACTGGTCTTGTATCGGCCTCCTATTTCAGTACTCTAATTGCATAAGCAGCACTGGAAATTTGGTTCCAAGGTCATATGCAGACTGAGGAATTTTTGTCACCCTGAATTGACTTTGTTACATTAGTATATTTTATAACAAAGGTATCTTTTTCTAGGAAATGGATTCTTCAGATTTAAAGGATTACCGATTTATGTGAACAATCCTTTTTAAAAAAATGAACCTAGAGGTTTTTATCTGATAGCTCTATTTGACATGCTTGGTGATAAGCTAATTTAATTGATAGTGAGTAGAAGGATGAGCTTGTGCCCTCAGTCCACCATAGGGTCGTTAGGTTTTTTACTTTACCTCCATATTGCCCCTTAATCCCTATTATCCTTGTGCAGGTATGTGCTCATTATATGTACGAAAGAAATATAGGATTAGGAGTAAAATGGCTGCACCCCAAATACTGTAGAATTCAAGGCCTGGAGCCCATCGATGCCAGGAGTGTAGCATCTAGGACTCATTTTATAAATGAAGAAAAGTACCTTTTTCCTATGGGGTAGTCAAAAACTGCACGAGAGGTAGCAGGAAGAAAACGTAAGTTTCTGGTCTTTTTTCCCAGATTTCTCCCCCAGTTTTAATGGAAAGTTAGAAATTGATTTGATTTTAGAAAGGAATTTTAATACCTGACAATTCAATTGTCTTTAGAGGTCCCTGCAAGTTCTTTAAGAACTATTCTCCTCTTCCTTATCAATGTCCCTTGAATCTCTTTGTGGGTGGCATTCATTTTATTGATAAACCAAAACAGTTATTCATTGAGAACATTAAATAACTCTTGAAAGGCAACCTGAATTTTAGTTGTTGCTGTTCCTCTGACTGGCAGCTTAAACCTGGGACTCTTGTTCCCATTTTATTTATGGGCCTTAAAGATCATGTAGTCTAAACAACTTCAATTTAAAATTTCTTTTCCATAATTCAGTATCTCTAATGATAAACTGAATTATATATAGAATGATTATATTAATAAGATATCCTTACTGATCTTTCATACAGTCGAACTAAAGAAACTCAATACATCTCTTGCAGTCTGTTAGTAGACCTCGCTTATTTTGCTAAAGTCTGTGCAGTTGTTTCTCACAAAAAATATTCTATGGCGGTATAAAATAAAGCTTTTAGCTCTTATTTCTCTCTATCCTCTTGGTGAATATTTGAGTATTACACTCACATTTGCATTTATTTGGGAATCTGCAACCAGGATGGCAAGGGGACTTGAAATGTGAACTCTTGGAGAGGGTTGTCAAGCAAGCATCACAAGATAGATAGATTAGATCTCTAAGATTTATTCCAAAATTTTGTGATTGCATGAGATCATTCTCTGTCCTAAGCATCCCATGCTAGTTAACTACCATGTAGCCTCTGTTTTAGAATGAAGGTTGTCATTCTAATTACCCAAGTATTGTTATGCGTATGTACAAAGGAGTCCAACACCATCATTCAGCTGGTCAGTCTTAACTTTTATTCATGAAACTTTTATTTGTTATGAAATTTTGGAAGGATTGTTGAATTTTACATTAGCATTTTTGCTTAATACCATTAAAAATAAGTATTAGCCTTTTACGGTGTGATTTAAATCCTATCTAAATACACTTAGCAAATTCTGAGTTAAGTATGAGTCATAATTGTGGGGCCAATATTTTTAGTATTAAAGGACTTGTTATTGTTGACATTATTTGTACTTTTACCTGTGTATATGATCAACAAAAAGTTCCACAGGTTTTGAGAGACTCAAGATGATGCTTCATTCACTAAATAATGTAAAATAGCTAAATTCATGCCACCTTCCACCCAAAAATGTGAAGTTTTGAGAAACTTTTAAATCCCAGTGGGATTTAAATATGTGGCTATCACTTGTGCATATCTAAGTATTTCTAGTCTCTTTATTTAAAATCAATGTAGTCTCTTCCTCATCAGCATCATTGTTTGTTTCAAGCAGTACTGTCCTCCTATGTTTTTGGATAGTCTCACCTCACCCTTAACAGCAAGCAGTACGTCTGTCACCACCACCAGCCCCCATGAGAGCAGTACTCATGTTAGCTCATCCAGCAGCAGGAGTGAGACAGGGGTCATAACCAGCAGTGGAAGTAACATTCCTGACATCATCTCATTGGACTAAAGGAGGACTCACTTGATTCTGGGAATCATTCATCAAAATTGCTCTTTCTTGGATTTCTGGTTTGTGGAAGCTATATTTTTGACAATTTGGTATTTATTGAAATGTCAAATGGATTCTTTTGCTTTCTAAGAGATAACACAGATGACTGCATCAAGAACCAAATGGCATGGAAGGATTTTTCTTACTTGTGCTGTACTTTGAGCATCGGATACATTCAGCCAAAACTGTACTTTCTTAAGAGATGGATTTCAATTTCATACATTGCTGGATGGATCCTACAAATGAGTTGAAGATTTTTTTGTTACAATAAACAGCAATAAAAGTTATGTAAATATTCAAGTAAACTCTTTTCTAATTAAAAAAAAAAAAGATGTAATCACTGATTCTAGAATGACAGCAACTTCTGTTTAGCCTGCTGTGAAGGAAAAAGTATTTGGAAAGAAGTATGTTTGCCGAATGAGTCCTTTCCACGGAGATTTGTTCTATTTTGTTGAAATAATGAAGTTTCTGTAAGTGGCCAAAGCTTGAGTTCCACTTTTCTTCTTGCAGTTCCACTTTTCTTCATGATCCCATCAAAGAAAAATGGGCTTTATGTTACACATTTTTCCCTGGTTATCAGTTATCACTTTGACATTGTTTGCTAGTGGATGCAGAGTAAAGTTCTGGAATTTGGCTGCTCTTTATTAGTGATTATGTTTAAGGAACTCTGTGCAGATTCTGTCCTGACACAATGTATTATTTTTGGTAACTGTACATTCTCATTCTAGAGTTTTCCATAAATTTGGGACTTCTCAAAGAAAGAAATTCTATGTAGCCATCGAATGAAATGTTTTGGGGGTAAAGTGTAGCTGGGGTGTTTGTTAGAATTTTGCTCACACTGTCAAGAAATATTGATAGGTTGGAGGCAGCAAAAGAACAGATTTTGGGAGGTAGAAATAACAAAACTTAGTTTCTTCCTAAAAATTTGCTCATTTATTTTATAGAATAATATATAAAATCTTTGAAACTTTTCATATTTTAGTAGCACTGAAATAGAACATTTGTTTTAGATCTCTGATCATATTTCTCACCAATTAATTTCAACCTCAGCAATGATTTTCAAACTTCGGGAAAAAGACAAATAATAGCAAGCGAGGAGGACAGCATCAGATCCTTACCTCCCCTTTTTAAAAAAGAAAATCTTTCCTAAAAACACAAAGATGAAACAATTAGAAATGTTTGAGTTAAAGTGAGGGAAGGGTTTGGGAGGATGTGCCTGAAGCCCACTTCATGTCTCACTCCATGCCACCACCAAACACTCCAGGTAACCCCTATGGTTTTACTGGCTGCATTTTGAAAATCACTCTCCTAAACAGTGTTTTATTTTAAATCACTCCAAAAACTGAGTTTTACTCTTAGAGAAACATTTTCATCCAAATTTTATAGTTTGCTTCATTTGGGTTCCTAAGTCATTTTTGAGTTCTCAAGGATTTAGTACTTTTCTAGAGTTTAGCTTTCTCTCCCTAAGCTGTATCTGCTTTAAAAACAGACTTTTTTTTTTTTAATGGCTTATCTAATTGATTCTCAAACAGAAGTGCCCAGATGAGGACTCTCCAATTTAGTTAGAACAGGGACACATAAGGGTTGGTGTAACTCCAGGGAGCTGACTTATCCCTACTTGGTGTTTTATACTTTCTCAAGGTTTCGTGGCCTTTGTGTGCTCTTTTTGTACTGATTTAATTTCTTCTGGTTTTCTACATCATCCCTTTGGCTACATTATCCCCTTATTTAATGTATTATCCTTTGGGAGGGCTGTTTATTATTAAAGACATGGGGGGGGGAAATAACACCTGAATCTTTCAAGAGTAGTTAAACTGTAGTTGTCAGTTTTGCCTTTGTAGTCATTAGATTTCTAGTCCTTGTTACAGTCTTTTGGTCCAGATGTAGAATTTCTTCTTAGAAAGATTTTCTGTTGCTGCTCAAAATGCAGATGCAATTTCTGTTGACTCTGTAATCAGATAGAAAAAGTAACCTGATTAGTGTGGTATCTATCATTTGTTAATAAAGAAGTGATGTATATTTGTTATCATTTTGTTACCCTATAGATTCTTAGAGACTCCTTTCCCCCAGTTTAATCAACAGAGTTTTATACAGTAAATGAAAATATTAATAGAAATTAGTTTATTTACTTGGTTCTGTTACTGATACCTCTGTGCTTTTTTAGTTGTGATTTGTTTCTTTTTTACAATTTTATGTGAAAAGTTTGTTTATTTTTGGTGCTTTACACTGAAACTATCTGTAAGTATTTAATTTATCATACAGGTGACTAACATCTTAAAAACTACTCTTTTAAAATTTTAATCTTAAAATTGGGGCTTACGATGTATATGTATTTTTGAAGGTGAGTACTTTCTCCTTTTTGCCTTTGGCCTTATGGCAACAGCATGATTATGAAGCCATTATCCTTTGTTTAATATGATCACTAGTTATTTTTACCAACATCCTGACTTTTTAATAGTTTATTTTGCTAGCTCAGATTTCTGCCTAACCAAGTATAAGGGAGTTACAGATGAGGTCATCTTAGCTGTTCCTTAGATTATCTGAGGTATCTTGTTTAAGGAAAGGAACTGCAGTTATTAATTTCTTACAGTCACTTAGCCAACCTCTATTTTTTCTTTCTTCTCTTAGAAATATTAAGGACATTTCTTGCTCTGATAACTCCTAACAGTATAATTGGTGCTGAATATAACTTCGTGCCTAAGGTCTACTTTTACTTACTAACTTTCTGACCTTTAGGTCAACCACTTTAGGATTTTATTTCCATTTCTGGTCAGAAGTTATAAATACTTGGCATCTGTCCAAGGGTAATCGTAAAGGCCAAATGAAAATGAGGTGAATTGAGGTATGTGGCATTTATCTAATGTGTTTCAGAAAAGCTAGAATGAAGATATTATGCATAGGTAAGGGATAGCAAGTATGATTAAGTTGATCCCTATCTTGGTATAAAACAAATTTCCTTAGGGTAGTCCTAAGGAATTTGAAGAGAGGCAAGATGTTGGATTTTAGGTAAAGTAGATTGAACATAGTCTATTCTGACTTTGATATTCAGACCCGTCAGACATTCTGCTTTCAGACCAGTCCTGGACACTCACCATTTAGTAATCAAGTTGTCTTTTTCTTCTACCAACAAAGTATTTATTAGTTGACATTTGTATTTTTAAGTAAAGTCAGTTTTTACAAAGCATCGGTTTAATTTTCAGATATGCCTTTCATTTCTCTCTAACCTGCAGTTGGTAAACAAAGCACTTAATTGTTGTATTCTTTATTTTAGTAATCACTTTTATTAAGTTTTTTCATGTAAGGTTTTCTCCATTTTTATGGACTGTCGTAATGCATTATTTCCAAGCTGTTTCCATCTTAGAAAATATAGAGCAGTACACCATTTAAACTTAAGTCTGATATTGGATTTAGTGGCCCTGGCTCTATAATGGTGTGGGAGGTTGGAGTTGTCATTTAGATCGGTGTTTGATGATTCAACCTGATTCACCATCTTTTCTGCTGCAGTTCTACATGAATATGATGAACTTGTTGAAAGGAATTTAAGACTTTCTCTTCTGCCTTTAAGAGTCTGATGATCTTGTCAAATAAATGACTAGTTTGTAATCTCCCCCATTTTTTTGTTTGGGTTTTTTTGTTTTTGTTTTTCTTTTTGTTTTTGGTTAGGAACCGCACTGCACCTAAAGGAAACAAAGCTATATAAAAATGCACATTCTTCTTTAATGCTTGCCTGTTTGGATAATGTTTATTTTTGTTTTTTCTGTTTATGTCAGTAGAACATGCTCATTGTGGAAAATTTAGACAGTATAGAGAAGTATAAAGAAAAATAACAATTGCCTATAATTCTATCACCAGAAAAAAAAGCATCACTTAATATTTTTGCTTTTTTCTTGCCAGTCTTTTTGCTGCTTGTGCATGTCTTTACATAGTTTCATTCATTCTCAATATAATTTGTATCTTGGTTTTTCTGTCAATCTACAGGCATTATTCCATGTTATTAGGAACTACATCAACTATTATTAGTTCCATGGCATTCCATTGTATGGATGTGCCATGATTCATATAACCTTTCCCCAATAGACATTTTAGATTGCACCTCATAATGCTACAGTGAAAATCTTTGTGCATAAATTATTTTCCTAGGGTAAATTCCTAGATGTGAAATTCCTGGGTGAAGGCTATGAACACTTTTGTAGTTCTTGATTCCTATCACTTTGCCAAATGGTTATGCTAATTTATATTCCAGCCAGATGGTATGAGAAGGGTGGTCTAGTCATATTTTCCAAGAATACACATTTTCTCTTTATGCAAGCATCTGCACTAAGTCCTTCTGCCCTTCTGCCCTTGGTGAGCTGGGCTGATTTGGAAGTAATTGGTGGGGATTTTGCGAGGCTTTGTATCTGACATCCGTGTTCTATGTACGGACACATGATTTTTCACATGGTTTTATTTTAACTGTGAAGTAGTACAAATATTTGTCAGGCTACATTTTCCATTTTTAGTTCAAAAATCTTACACCTTTCCCTTCATCCCCCACCATTTGTGTCTAGGGCCAGCCCTTAGTAGCCAGCTCTCTTTTTCCTCTTCCTGTAGGCTCCATTTTGGCCTTTCTGAGCTTCCTAACGCCAGTAGGATCTACTGAGCCAAAGGCAGTCCAACCCAAACTGGAAAAGTGGTAAGGCTAAAACAACAACCAGGGCCAAGTTTTGCCTGTTTTACTTTATATTTTATGTTCCCAGTGAAATCTTATTCTTGGTTTTATAATGGAGACTGTGGGGAAAGAAAAAACTGATTGTTATCTTCAGATGTTGGAGGTGTAGCATTTTCTTGATTGGCATATACAACATTCATTATTTCCAAAACATCTTTATTGCTGAATGGGTTTTAAAACGTTGCTTTGTGTTCTCCAAGCTTAACTCTTTTTTTTTTTCTTTTTTTTTGTTTTTCTTTTGTTTTGGTGGCTAGCTGGTGGAGGGATTGAACACTGGACCTTGGTGTTATCAGCACCGTGCTCTAACGAACTGAACCAACAGGCCAATCCCCCTCAAAGTTTAACTCTTTTACTAAAAAGAGTGTTGTTGTGTTATAAAATAACTCTTATTTTGGCTTTCATCATACTATTCAACAAACGTTTATTATGTTTTCTAAGAGTATGTGGGATATAGTAGTATAAAAGATCTGGTTCCAGGCTTCAACGGGCTTATAATAAAGTTTCCAAAAATCAAGAATTCTTACCTAGTAACAGTCCTTATTCTTAGAACTTTCCAAAGAAGTCTCATTCCTTGCACTATCCTTTCAAAGGAAAGTGGAATTATCCCTGTTTTGCAAATGAAGAAACAGATTTAGAGATGTTTTCCAAAATCACAGTGGATGAGTAGTGGACTTGGGAGCTGACCTAGACCTACCTCAAAAGCCCTCTGACTAAACTGAAGTGATGTTAATTATCTACATTATTTAGGAGACTGGTATAGGAATCTAGACATAAAATTGTGGGATCTTGTTTCACATGATGGCCACAGTAATAAAGGAGTGGGATACTGGAGCCCTTTCAAAGGAAGATTCAAGATTGAGTGACTGTATATAGGAGTAAGGACTGAGTCCATTTCTCAAGCCTGGATAACTTGGAGGATAATAGCACTATTTACAGAGACAAGAGGTAATTTAGAATGAACTTTAGTCATTTAGGGGAGACAGTTATGAGTTTGATATTAATCATGAGATTTCAGAAAAGAAGCAGCCCTGAGGCTCATCCCTGATTTTCCTGCTATCTTTTAAGAAATATAAACCTTCCTTGCCATCCATTTCACCTTCACTTGTCTCCATTCTGCACATGCTATTCACTCCTCATCGCCCATCCTCTCACTTCTTCCTAGACCATGCATGGCTACATCTCAATCTTTTGATTTTTATATTCACTGCTTGGCCGTAACAAATTCAGCTGTCACCCAACGTCCTGCCATCCCTTGCAGCTCTTACCTGGGCTGTGTTCTCATACCACATACCTCAAGGGATGGTATTTGCTGCCCTTCCTCCCTATTGTAATTCCTCTACCAAAAATCTCTGCCTCAGAATCCCATGTATACCAAGAGGTCATACTATCACCTACTTCAGTTCTTATCAAGTAACCGCCTGAATAAAGGGAGCGCCATTTGATTTGCTCGAGGCTTCACTTCGTGGCTCACTGTTTCTTGCCATCTCTAATTCTGTTGTTATTAATACCTTCAACATTCTTTTTTTTTTTTTTCCTTTTTGTCTTTTTTACTGACCGGTAACGGGATCGCAACCCTCGGTGTCGCGCCCGTACCGGGGACCGGCAACGGGATCGCAACCCTCGGTGTTGCGCCTGCACCGCGCTCAGCCAGTGAGCAGGAACCGGTCTCCACATGGGATCCGAACCCTCGGCGGGAGCGCCGCCGCGCTCTCAAGCGGCGCACTCTCCAGTGCGCCACCGGGCCGGCCCTACCTTCAACATTCTTATAGATGATTCATCTAGCAGTCTATTCTGAGAGATTTGGTTACTTCACTTCCAGCATTTTCTTCCACTGAACCTCTAGAGTTGCCCCACTACTATTTCACCCCCCTGTTTTCTCTTTCCTACTTGTCTGGCCTAGAGTGCTCCTTCATTATGGCAGCCTTGAACATACTCTCAGAACTACCTGTCAGTCCTTTGACTTGGCATGGCATAGATTCTTAGCCTATTCTGATCAGCTTTAACAAATATTAACACACTCCTTTTCAAGCCACACTCTCTTCAGAGAATGACCTTGCTTATTTTAATCAGAAGGTTCAGCCCATCATGCTCTATACCCACCTTTATCCTTTCTTTATTCCAGTCTCAGAGAAAGAGGCGGGCCTTCAAGGCCAATTCAGCCACATGGGCCTTTGACACTTGTCTCTTCTGTCTTCAGGACCTTTCTCCATCAGACTTCCCCTCTTTGCTCTGTGTCTTTCACCTCTCTACTTCTTCTCTTGGCTTACACTTGGTGTCAGGCATCTTGTCAAGCACAAGACAAGATGCCTGGCACCCACAGTTGTACTCCAGTAGCATATAGAGAGGTGTGAAGTAGAAAGATTACCATTTTAATGGTGAAAGGTGAAGTAGAGTGCTGCAGGAG